TTCAATTTTTGTAAAAGATAAAAAAAACAGAAGACTTTTTTCCACTATAGACATCCTAGTGATCACTCCATAAATAATACTCTAAAAGAATGTACATACTGGACTTTTTAAGTTGTTTTCTTGATAACTTATTAAAATGGATAATAATTCATCAATTTATGGAGTTGTTTTGTTTTGCAAGAATCAGAAAAATGTTTTTGATAAGGATATAGAGATACTGAATACTCTTCCTGCATTTTCAGTCGTGTGTGTTTGCCTGCTCCCTCGGGCACTGGTGACTGCTCTGGTTTGTCAAACAGATTGCAAACTCTGTATCAACACCACTAGATATAAGCCATTTTAGATTAACACTTTATGAGGCATTTTCAGTCTGAACTTCTCACACAAGTAAACCAAGCAATTACACATTTGTAGTTGTGGAAATTCGAAAAGCAAGCCAGCATCCTACTCCTGCCCTTTCTGCCACTGTCACTGGTATCTCCTCTGTTGCTTCAAGACTGTCATCCCTATGGGCTTTTCTGGCCACCAAAGGACAGCATGACATCCAGAATGCATTCTCGCCTTTGCCTGAGAGCCAGCAACCACAAGCTTGTGCTCTGTCCCACACTGGGAGCATCCAGGTGGAATTTAAAATAGAATGGATGGGGACCCAGTTATGTAAAAAGTCACCTCTGGTCTTCTGTTCTGTCATGGGAGTTAAGACCAGCTGGGGTGCTTCTGGTATCAGTTTCCAGTACATAAGTCTCTGTGATCTGCAGCAGAAATTCTTACAACAGGGCCTTTAGAAGTCTTGTCCTCTGATGGACTGCCAGAGGCAGAGTCCAAGGCATATCTGTGCAGGCAGACTTTTTGCTGAGTTTCCCAGGGACTGAGAGAAAACTACCAGAAAGAACAGGCTTCTCTGGGTTCTACAGCTAACAATCTACAAATGCCCTGAGCAGGAAATATGATTTGTGGCCAGGCAGCTACTTACCTGGTTCACTTAGCCCAGCCAATCAGAGGTGACCATCGTCATAGATTCAATCCCTCAAGAGAGCTCCTTTGAATGAAATGCGTATGCTTGAAATCTGGCTCTCCCCCTCCTAAATACACTTTTCTAGAATATAATGTGAAACACCTTACTTTTGCCAGAAAAACAAGTTCAAATACATGTTCTCTTTGTGGAATCAAGAAGCTATAGATGCTTCAGTAAGCTATAAAAATGTGAAGTCACATGGTGATCTTTTAACAGAACTAATCAAGGTAGCTGGATTCATTATGAGATGCCATAATATCAGCTCTCATTTGTGAACAATCAATGTATGATCTCTGTAGCATTTTATAGGCATGGACACCTAAAGCTTAGAAAGCTTGCACAGCACAGTAAACACTGGGTCATATTCTATTAGCCAATTAATATTTTGTCCTCTTTCCAAATTACAAAATCAAAAATAATAAATAGAAAATGAGTCTCACACTTGCTGTGAAAGAAGTTAACAGTTTGAAGTGTGTGGTTGTGTATATGTTTGGATATCACCCATTTTTAACTTCATTTCTTAACTCTAAATAAGGAGCAGCACCTAGACTAGTGCAGTAGAGATGAACCACTTTATATTAAGGGAGATCAATTAGATTATGAAAGAGCTCCTCACTGTCATATTCCAGGATAAATAAAATATCTATAACATAGCAATTTCTTTTGTCCTCTAAGTAAAATTTCATATGACCTGACAATATTATATTTTAAAGTCCAACCACTTAAAAAATTTCTGCAACTAAAATAATTCATTTTAATGGAAATCCAGAAGGAAGAGTAGAATTGAAGACAAGATGAGGGGCATAAAACTCTATCCTGTGCCACCCTGGGAACTGTCAATCAATGCCTAGGGTTTCCTCTTCCTGGGAATGCAAATCGACTAGCAAATGCAGTCCTCTCCACCCCTGCCCCCACCCACACACACTCAATCAGTTCTCTCCCTCCAACTCTATGGGAACTCCAGTAAGAGATTCAGATCTGAAAGGAAGCTTTTGAAATTTGAGAAAACTAAGGCTCAAAGTTGAAATTAATAGCCACCCAAGTCAGCCCAATGCTCTTCCCACTGATCCTCCCAGCCCACAGAAACCAGACAGCAAGACTGGGGAAATGGAAGGACATGCATGCAGATCACCCTGGGCCTCAGGGAGACCTCCTCAGGAGACCCACCCAGGCTGTGAACTCCACTACCATTTAACTCAGTGTTATCCCCCACTTTATAACTCATAATAGAGGCTTGATATATTTTTTCAATGAAAAATATATAGATTTGGTTTAGCATCAGGGAACAGAACTCTGATGGAGATATCTGTGAACTGTGATAAAGAACCATGGAATGCAAAAGTGAAATTTAGATGCTGAGGTCCATTGATCAGGAATTTGATTACAAAAAAAGAAAGGATTTGAATTAGGTTATGAAGCAGTATGTTATGGTATAAAGAATAAGTCCTCTAAAATAAGGTTTTTTGACTCTATTGCTTATTAGCTGAGTGACCTTGAGCAAGTTTCTTAATCTCTCCACATTTATTTCTCTATGTATAACATGAGTATCAATTGTATGGGCTGAAATGTTGCAGAGAGAGAGAGAGAAGAGAGAGAAGGGAGGGACAGAGATAGAAAGTAAGAAAGAAAACACGGGGCACATAGGGGGTTCTCGGTGCACTAGAGTTCACACACAAATTGGGCACTCAAATGACTGTGTTCATTTAATGAAATGCCTAGTTCAGCTGGATCAGCTCTTGGAAATGTCTCCTTTGCTTTACAGGTATGGGCAGAATGACCCCAGAGGCCTTATATTATACAAAAGAGATACAGCACCACTCAGGCCCTAAAATTGTAGCTTGTATTTGGAAATGGTTGACCTAGTGTTCTTAAACTATAAGAACAGAATACTCCAGTTCTCCTCTAAATGCTTTATCTGAATGCCTGCCTCGACAGTGCTGGATCCCTAGAGTCATAGTGAAGGCAATATTCAATCAACCACCCCACTCCCAAACTAGATTAACTAATCCTCCTATGCGGTTCATGGCACACTATACTTTCCCCATTTATCACACTGTATTGTACTTGCTTATTCACTTTCTGTCTTGCCAATCAGGCTGTGAACTTTAGCTTAGTTTTACCTCCCACTTTTTAACTCATAATAGAGGTTCAATATATTTTTTCAGTTAAAGAACTCAACAACTTCCTTAAAACATCTACCACTAAAATCAGTGTAAAGTATTAATGTCCTCCACTCTCCCAGCTTTGAGATTGCTTTCTCCTCCCTCCTCCAGTCCCCTGAAAAAGCAGTCACTTCTCTAGTTTCATCATTTAGCCACTTAGATATCTGCTCAGAATGTTCCTCATTATGTTAATTCACTCAATAAATTGTGTTCCATCCAAACCAGAATCTCATGTACTGGGACCAGTGGCAGGGGTACAGCAATGAACACTCCAGGACTCCTCCTGGAGTGGCACAAAGAATCAAGTGAGCTTGGAGGAAGCCTCTGAGCTTCAGAGAGGCCACTAGCCATTCTCCGACATATTTCTGGATCAGTAATTACACCCTATCATCAACTTGACTCTCTAAAAATTACAATGTGGCTTACTAGTACATGGTGTTCACTCAATAACTACTTGTTGAATAAAGGAGTGAATGGGATAGGATGAGAATCTCAGTGAGCTTTTATTGCTCTGGGCTAATATAGGAGATATGCAACAAATCAAATACTTGAGAATAAAGCAAATAATAAGATCTTTTATTTGAGTAAGTCTGGGTTTTGGCATCCACTAAGCTGATCTGTGAACATGAGAATCTACAAATATTTCTTAGGTCCTCTGAGGAGCAGGTGATGCCTCTCGGAATCATTTCCTGTCACCAACTAGGTGAGCCAGGGCTTTCTGACACCACAGCTAAGTCAGTCCCACTTGCCTTCAGAGTTCTCCCTGAGGTTGAAGAATACCAGTCAACTAACCTTCCTAAACTGCCAGGCACCATAACATTCTGCTTCCCAATTCTCTTTGGCTCTAACAAGTACCTGGCTGGATTCCATACTCTTCTTTACGGAGGAGCTCATATTATTTTGTTTTAGGCTCCTCTCCATGGCTGGTTTGTGTACTCCAGGGAAAGAATCTTGTCTTTATAATTTCCCACAGTACTGGCCACACAGTAGGTGTTTAATAAGTATGTTTTAAAAATCTGTCTGCAGTTGTAGCCTCTGCCAAAGTCTCCATGCGAGACCGAACGTAGACTGGAAAGAAGGGTAAGGATACAGCCCCCTGTATTCTAGAACTCTCCAAACAGCTCTCACTCACATGCTTTTTCTGGGCTCCATCTTTTGACAGTGCTTTCAAGGACGAGGAATGTGACACAAACTGGTAAAAGGAAATCACACAACACGATGTAAATATGGCAGGTTAGGTGCTAGGCTGGAACCTTCCTTTCACTAAAAATGAATGCTTACACAGATGACGATGCCTCCAGCCTGACAGCGTTTCACCGGGCCTCTCAATCTTCCTGACACATTGAGACCTCAAGCAGGGTGTTGAAAGGTCAACTTGTTTGGTACCAACTATGACTCAAAAAGATTATTCTCCTGTGAGGTGAAGGAGAGGAAAGAAACGGGGACAGTGAGATTTTCCAGCCACTCCACCCAGAGGGTAATTAATCCAAATGCAACTCGGGTGGGTGGAACTCAAACATCTTCCATGCCCATTCGGTCCTCGCTTCCACCCAGGGTTACTAGAACAGAAGCGCCCTTATCAGTCTTAGGGTTGAGTCCCTTACTCTCCTGTAGAGACCCGCTCTGGAAACAGTGACCAGAGGAAAGGTCATGGACACATCGGGGTCTGGAGGGGCTGGACTGGAGTTGCGGACCTAGTGCCTCCGGTGGAGACGGCTCTCAGCCAATGAGATCCTGAGATCTGGGGATGATGAGTGCGGGGCAGAGGCTTGGCCAATCAGGCTCCAGGCGCGGCCAGGGGGGGGAGGAGATGGGAGGAGAGGCCCGGGGCGATGGAGACACAGCTACATCAACAGAAGTTTCTCACCTTGGAGTGCGAGGGACTCTCCCGCATCTCCTGCACATCTTCTCCAGCTGGTCGCAGGAGAAGAGTCTCAAGCTATTTCCTCCACCTCCTCACACTGCTCCCTGCAAGCGATGGGAGGCTGCTGAGAGCCCCTACCACTACTGGCCTTCTTTTTATGTTGTCTGCAGTGAGGAAGAGGACGAAGGACATCTTAGTGCTGGGGAATTGACCTCTGGTCTGGCGGGCCTCTGGGCTGGGAGAACAGAAGAAGAGTGGCTGGGGCTGGGGGAATCCATGCGGGGGCCATGGACAGAGCGGCGCTCCTGGGACTGTCCCGCTTGTGCGCGCTTTGGGCAGCCCTGCTCGCGCTGTTCCCTGGCGGAGCCCAAGGAAACTGGATGTGAGTATGGGGGCAGCGGGACGCACGGGGTAAAGGACAAGTCAGGTACCCAGCCTCAGGGAACTTTAAGCTAAGGAGGGAGGGGGTAGAGGCGGAGACCCCAGGGCTGATGACCTAATTTTGGGGAAAACATTTGGGATTGGGGAGGGCAGCAAGAGAGCGACGTACGATAGGGGCGGCCGTGTCTTACAGGTGGTTGGGCATCGCCTCCTTTGGGGTTCCGGAGAAACTGGGCTGCACCAACTTGCCGCTGAACAGCCGCCAGAAGGAGCTGTGCAAGAGGAAACCGTACCTGCTGCCCAGCATCCGAGAGGGCGCCCGGCTGGGCATTCAGGAGTGCAGGAGCCAGTTCAGACACGAGAGATGGAACTGCCAGGTGGCCACTGCCGCCGCCGCCGCCCCGCCGGGCACCAGCCCCCTCTTTGGCTACGAGCTAAGCAGTGGTGAGTTCCGGGACCCACGGGGCTGGCGCGGGACGGAGGACGACAACTTCTCCAATTCCTGTATATAAAATAGTGCTTGCGTAGTCCTGTCGCTCTCTAAATTCCAAAAGAGGTCATTTCGTGGATGAGAATTGGGAGCTACCGAAGCCAGAGCCCGGGTGCAGGTGCGGTCCTGAAGAGGGTGACTCCCCAGGTCCGGAGCCAGCGCTTGGAGACGTAGCTCTTCCTCCTTCCCGCTGTGCCCGGTTGAGTTGGGGAAAAACTTTGATACTCCACCCCGCCGACCCTTCGGACCCGTAGGGCCCCCCTCCTTGGGTCACCAGCTGGAGAAACATGTTGTCGGCAGCAGGGAATGCTGCTGCTCCATCTGCTTTGATTTAAGCGGCTCCGCTGCTCACCAAGCCCCGGACAAGTGGCTAAACGCAGCGAAGACCCACGTTTATTGGCTCCTCCGAGCACCAGGTACTCGGAATAATGGTGATTTTTAAAAGGGATTGTCCTGTGCAAATCAACGTGAGGCTCAGCCGGGCACCACCGCTTTGGCTGACCCTCAGTTCTCCTCTCTCCCCTCCTCTGCGCGCAGCGGAGGGCGGGAAGCTGCAGTAAAACAAAGTTCCACGTCCACGTGCCTGGTGACTCGGTAAGGTTAAAGGAACGGAGACCCAGGGTTGTTCCAGGAATATTAGCAGATTCACAGAACTTTAGGACGCGGGCGCTGGAAGATTCGTTGCTTTTCACATTCATTTCCGTTCTCCCTCCACCTTTGACCCTTCCCCACCGGGTCTCTACACACACAGCCGCCAAAGCATCGCCTTGGCCCTGCTGGGTTTTGGCCGGCACACCCTTCCTAAGGAGCCCTGATCCCCTACAGGGCGAGGGGTGGGGTGGGGGTGGGGGGGTCGGGAAAGATGTGTTCTTCACAGTTGCTGAAATGCAAAGGCATCAGCTGTTGAAAAGGTTTATTGGACAACGGGCGTGAAATTGTTTCTACTCCAATCTAAACATCTCGAAAGAGAAAAAAGTCGCCTGCGGAGTCTCTTCTAGTCCATTTTATTTATGCTTTAATGAGCCTTTAATTTTCCAAGATTTTAGCTCAAACGCTATTGCAGGTGTGCTAAATACACATTCAATAACATTCCATAACATTTTTTGGTGTCATTTCAATTGTCTTTCATTTTAGTTATCTTTAAGAATGTAAGAGGATTAGCCAGTACTATATAAAATATATCATGGTTTCATGTTATTCAATAATGTCAAGACTGTTTTTCACGATGTCCTAGAAAAGAGCAGCCTTACATGTGAAACTAAATTATAATTTATCAACTGATCGCTTTATTGTTGGTTTAATTTTAATTTGCTTTCTGATATATGTTATTTATGTGAACAAAAATTGCACCCAATTTTTCAGATTGTGTTTTGGGAAAACACATTTTAAATTTAAAAACAAGTGTAATCTGGACTCTTTGGGAGCATTGTAAACCGTTTCCTGTATCCACTCAAAAGGTTTTTTTAATTTGACATATATTTATTGAGCTTTGATTGTCTATTAGGCACTGAACTAGGTATTGACATACATTTCATATTTTAGATATTTTTAGGTATGAGAACAATGATATCCAATATATGACAATCCCCTCAAGTAGGATACTCAAAATTAATGCTGCTTTTTAAAAAGACTAGAACAATAGGAAATCATGCTTTCTAAATATGTATTCATTAAAGCATCCATTGTAAGCAATTGAAAAATTGCTTCCCTGGCAAGAGGATGAGTAGGAGGCTCCATTATAAACATAGAGAGTGATATGACTCTTTCATTTAGTGATTTATGTCTTATTCTAGGCACCAAGGAAACAGCATTCATTTATGCTGTGATGGCCGCGGGCCTGGTGCATTCTGTGACCAGGTCGTGCAGTGCAGGCAACATGACAGAGTGCTCCTGTGACACCACCTTGCAGAACGGCGGCTCAGCGAGTGAAGGCTGGCACTGGGGGGGCTGCTCCGACGATGTCCAGTATGGCATGTGGTTCAGCCGAAAGTTCCTAGATTCCCCCAACAGAAACACCACGGGAAAAGAAAGCAAAGTACTGTTAGCAATGAATCTTCATAACAATGAAGCTGGAAGGCAGGTACGTATTAGAAAATGGGATAAAATCCAGTGCTTTTAGGTCAATAACACTAGGGTTACACTTGTGCATGAATCTGTTCAAGTAGTTTTAAAAAATACCTGCAGAAATATATGTGCATGTGTATGTATACATATTATTATACATGCGTGTGTCATATGTGTAACTGCATTTATATATTTTTTTCTTTCATGCGGCTGTACTGGCCACACTGACTTAGTTTAAGTTCTCCATCTAACATGAGTTCAATCTTGTTACAGAATGTGTTTGTGACTGTACACTTCGTATACCTAAAACATGAATTATGAAATGATAGCTGTACACATGCCTGTTGGGTTATTTGGTTCCACCCTCTTGGCTGATTAGTGGCATATCCTAAATAAGATCTACAGTATCTGCCTTCCTAGTGGGACTGGATCAAACTTCACTTCCTCAAATTTGAACTTTATTATTTTATATGTATTTCTTAGTGGGCAATGTCTCCTAGACTTGTTGTCAGTTTTGCCTTTACTTTCTCTAGCAAACATTCTTGAATACATTCAGAATAGACGATATTTAACTAATTTTTTTTGTAAAACAAAGTCTTTTAAGGGAAATAGATATTTTATTATAAAGCTATGTAGATTCATTGTAAAATTGATATAGATAAATGAAAAGAAGTTATAAGTGTATTAAATATATGCATATTTAAAAATACAGATAAAGATTCAGCAAGAGCAAATTTGAAGTAGCATCATCTAATTAACCTCTTTTATGAATCCTGGCTTTTTTATACTAAATTTTCTTAAAACTGAAAATTTTTTAACTTAATTTAACTTTTATATATTTATCTTAATGAATATTGACACAATAGCATTTGACTTCTGCACTGCAGTTAAATTACTTGGTAATTCACAGTGACTTTCTTAAAACAGCCCAAACTTTTTTATGAATATATATTTTCTATCTTATAATCTTTTCTGGACAGGAATATCAGCACATATTGTATATCACTGTGCATGCCCAGTAACCTGTGGAAGTCCCAAAGTGGTCATTGCAATCTGTCACATCCTCCTGAAATAAAACAAGTTTCAATATCTCCCAGGAATAGTTAAAGTATACGTTGCATTTGTTTTACATTTTTGGGAAAATGAATAAATGGAACCTAATCAGAATAGTTTTAAGTTTAAGCCGGTTTTTTTTTTTATTTAACCATTTTGGTTTAAAATACAAAAACAGAAATCTCAAGAAATACCTCACTATAACACATGAAATTCAAATTTGACTTTTCAATTCAATTTGAATATTCAGTTAAAAGGTGCAAAATAGAAAATTAGTAAATAGCTATGTGAGCTTTTTATATTTTTGTTTAAATTTTTTAAATTTATCTTTAAAATTTCATTCATTTTTTTAGAGAAAGACAGGAAGGGTAGGTGAGGGGTGGGGAGAGAGACACATTGATTTATTGTTCCACATATTCACGCATTCATTGGTCACTTCTTGTATGTGCTCTGACCAGGGATAGAACTTGCAAACTTGGTGTATTGGAACAATGCTTTAACCCACTGAGCTAGCTGGACAGGGCTTGTTTAGAAATTTTAAAAGTTAATTTACATCACTAAAGTAACTTGCCTAACACTATAATTATGCACATGTATCTTCTCCTTAAAGTTTTACATTAAAAAATTAAATAAACTAGTTTTTCCTTTAATTTAAATATTATTTAATAAAGGATTTTAATTGTTTCTAATATATAAATATAAAAGGATGAATTATAATTAACATATGTTCTTTAAAACTCCAGAGTTAAAGCTCCAAGAAAAAAGCACCAAGATGAGTGAAAATAATATATTTTTAAAATAAGAAAACAATTAAATGAATATTTATTATTAATTTAAACCTTATATCTTTTTAAAGCGTTATTTAAAGATTTTGTGAGAAATTTTTAAAATTTTAACCAGGAAACAAAACTCAAAAACTCATATTATGATTCTCCTGAATGTAATCAACTCCAAACTTATGAAATGTCCTAAAGTCTTCTAAAATATATTTTATTAATAATAGTAGGCAGCTATTTAGCTTTATTCTTGTTTGAATTTTTTAATTAAATAACAGTATTAGTCTTTGTAACTATTAACTTAGATCTTAAACTATTATTTATATTCTAATTTTATTAAAAACATATAACTATTCAGCATCAATATTAACCCATTGTTGGCAAAACACCATATTATTATATTCTCTGGTCTTTGCTATTATTCTAATTATGCAGAAAAAATTAGCCTATACATTTATACACATTTTATGTAAAATTTAAATTTTTCTACTAAGATTTTAGATTCTCTAAAAGATTTTCTACTAAATCTTTTTTCTCACATTAGTCTAGATGGTAACTTAAAATATTAAAAAATATTACCTAGGTATTTTGATGTGTTTTATGGTTCTTTTCTCACTAAGTATTGCAATTCAAAGCACTTTTGTATTTTTCTTTCTTTTGGTGGTCAAAAATATAAAAACCACCACCACCACAACAACAAACTAACCAAGTTTCCAGCTTATTATCTAACATGGAAGAATAATCAACTCCAATTCTGATACTGGCAAATAGAATTTTAATTTAATGGGCATATTCTGAGCAAAGTTCAAGGTCTGCATTCAATTGAGTTGATTTTCCTAGTCTCAAAATCCCAAACTCCAAATGTCGAAAAGCGTTCAGAGAAATGTGGGTACTGGCGCTTAGTAGTGCTGTGAGCAGGATAGATGATTTTCTAACCGCTGACCTTAAATTCCCACTTGGTTTCTGACACCATTCCTAAAGTTATGACTCCAAGAATAATGTTGCTGAATGGTGATTGGCTAACAGAATGATGTGATGTCTTCCAGGGGCAGAACTTCTGGGAATAATGTGACTTGGAATATTTATGGGTATTTCTTTTGGTGTGCTTAAAATATTTCCATTCTTCCCATGTCCACCTCATAAACTTTTAAGTTTCCCTACCCCATAATTTGTTTTATGATGACTAACTCAGAAAAGTGGGAAGGGCCCAACCCCAAATTTTCATTGACCTGTTTCAAGAATATTTATAAGTATTTGAACAACACATAAGTGTTTTGCTTTTCAGCAGATTCAAATATATTTTTGGACTAAAAGGCACAAAATAGGTCAGAGGAATAGAAATTCCACATATATCATCCAATCTTATGTCACAGTTTTTGTAAAAACTTAAACAAATCATCTGCTGGTTGACAAAATGAAATGCTCATCACAAAATGTTTCACGACAGTGTTTTGGTCATTTCTGTAAAGTGTGGGTTGAATGACACACTGGAAAACAGTCCCTGCCTGCTGCGTTACCTGAGTCAAAGTTGTGGTACCGTCACTCTTTAGCCCACTTCTCAAACACTTTCTATTTTTATCTTTAAGTATTATGATTTGCCTTTCATATTTCACTTGATTAGAAATGCATCAAACCAAAACTTAACACAAAGGAGCCCAGTAGATTAAATGTTCCCCTCCTAATTGCTCTCCCATAGTTTGAAAATATTCCACCAAAATGGGCACATCTGTTTGCAATAGTTAACAAAACATTCCTCTGTTAATATCGTTATAAACCTTAACAACTCAACTAAAGTAGAGAAAGGAATTTTCTCATAACCACATACAACTCATTTGGTTGCTATTCTCTTACTTTTCCCATTCCCCCAAAATGGCTGTACTATCACTGTGGTTGAGAACAGCTATTTAGCATTAATTAAGAATCCTAGCTGAAAATCTCCAGGATATACTTTTTTTGAAGTGTTATGCAATTTTATTAAATATAATAGCATTTTTCTCTTCTACTAAAATTATCCAGCTTCATATAAAGATTTTATGTCATGTAACACCAACTTTCCTTATGTATGACAAATGTCTTAGCCACACTGTTTATTTTTCTGTAAAACTGGAATACTAAGTACATGTTTATAACTACTTACATTTCTTCCTATAAAACTAAATTAAGTAAAATATTTATGAAAATGTACTCTGAGAGCACTAAGCTCCATAGTATGTGTGTGTGTATCTGCCTTGAACTCTGCATTTCATCAAATTCTTGTAGAAGTCATTACATTGCTTTATTTTAATCCCTGTCTGTCCAAGTTTCTTCCTTGGACATATCATTTAAATTGCATGTCAAGTTATTCTTCTCCTTGGAGTTGATTTGTCTTTCTATCCAAGAATATGTGCATGTAAGATAAAAAACACTCTTTCTTTTTTAATACTTACTGATAGGAACAAAAGAGGAATAGAATTAAAAAGTTCTTTAAATACAAGTTCTTTAAAATGTTAACCCTGAAAAGTTGTAGTTAACTCCAGGTATTTAACAGGGCTAGCTTTCTAAGGCAGGAAAATCCCTTCAAAGTTTTGACAAATTCAGCATATTATATCATTGAATTTGAAAGTCAGTCTTTCTTTATATTTCAAACCTATAAAGCAGTGTGTCGCTCTTATGGACTCCCACTGTCGATCAAGTTCTTCCAATACCATTGGCCTGACAGCAGTGACTATTGTTTAAAGAAGGTGTTTCTTATTGCTTCTTCTCAATTCGGATTACCAACAGAGGATGAGTTAAAACCATCTCAGAGACTGGGACTAATTATTCAATAAGTTTTTGGTGAGCACCTACTCTGTCCACTATGCTTTACAAGTTGGCAACACCATACATGACATTCGAACTGGTTTGTAAAAAAAAAAAAAAAAGCCAACTCTTCAGTCGTGATCCCGAGCTAAGGGCAGCGTTAAATCACTAGGTGATGACTATAAGGAACGTTGATCAGATTTAAACACATAAATATACATCCTTAGTTTGGGGGTTTTCTTTGGGCAATTTGTTTTGTTATTACCTAGCATTGATTGGGCGCTTTTTTTCTCCTATGTTTCAGGCACTTAAAATCTGCACAGAAGTAGGCAGACTGCATTAATTTTAACATGTCTGTGCCTAGAGACATTTTAAAGAATCGAAGGCTTTGTGAATATCAAATGCCCTATATTTAACCAAATAAGCCTGAGTGCCATACTTTATAAATTGCTTTCATATCATTGAAAGGTACTGTTTTGCCTGAGTTAATAAAAAGTACACATATCTATTAACTTCTCAGGTTTGTGAATTCAAAAAGCGCATACGCATATGTGCTGCAGTCTATAAAGAGTGGGGTTTAAATACTATTCTGTTTATTATTTTAAACACCAGTAAGAAGTATCAAATATTGCCTAAATCAATACCATATGCTCTCATTCAAGTTGCAAATATTATAAACTGTTTGAAATATTCTGTCTAATTAGATGTTCGGAGACTTTGGCTAATTTGTTAGGAAATGTAACATCCCACAAACATGTCAATGTCAGGTTTGGTACAAAATAAATAGCGAAGTCTAAAGCCCTGTCATGTTATAGTTTTGATAAGAACTGTAAGTGGAATTTAAGCTGTGAGTTTTTTCCTTTATTTGGCGAGATTACACACACAATTTCCTAGTTATTGAACGGGGAGATCAATTTTTCACTTTACCCAGCATGTTGACAGACGTCAACTCTGCAGCTAGCCCTGACGATTTATTAATCTGCTCTGCCATCCTCTGGAGGTTGCAGGAAGCTATGCTGACTAGCTTGGTATGCAAGAGATTTAGAGCCCTAAAACTTCTTAAATCTCTTTATTGTTTTTGCACTGTTTTGCCTGTTTGAAATTTATCTCCATTTTTACTGTACCTTCTTCAGAGAAAGGGGGCATTCATTTAGACCTTCATGTGTGCCAGGCAGTGGGGCTCTTATAGATATTTGTAATCTCATTTAATTTCTCAGTCTACATAAACTAAACTCAGCACACAGAAATAAAAAAAATACATAGATATTAGCCCCTTTCTATTTTAGAATGGTGTTACTAATCCATTCAGAACAGGACACATGTTTTGAATTAATTTTCCAGAGGAGGGGAAGGATTTTGCAGAAAATCACACTCTTCAGCCCCTTTTTCTTTTCATCCAACTTAAAGTTGATGAGTCAGGGTTTCTCATGGGATCTGCGACCAGGGGATAGCATCTCCCCCAATCTCCATGAATGTAACTGCCAGCTACAGTGGTCAGACCTGCGATTTCTCAGTTCAGTCAGTAGGTCTCATCCCTTGGTGAGCATCAGAATCATCTGAGCAGCTTTGTAGAAATACTATTACCGACCCCCACATCGACCAATTAAATCAGAATCTCAGCGGCTTGAGCATTGTAAGGTTCCTCTAATGTTTCCATGCACTATGTGAGTTGAGGATGACTCCTCTATCAGTGCTTCTCAATTTCTAATGTGCATATCTGAGTCCCTGAGGATCTGATTAAAATGCAGATTCTGATTCTGAAAGTGCACATTTTCACAAGTGATGCTGGCATTGCTGGTCCCTGAACCACATTCTGAGCAGCCGGGTGCGAAATGGCATCAGGAAATGGAGACATGAGTGAACATCCCCCCACACCAAAAATTAAATGAGAGATTAGAAATAAAATAGTTTTCCTTTGTTATCTCGGATAATATCTAATAACAATATCAGCCTGGTCTACTACCTTAAATTCAACATGGAAGGTTTTGCTCTACAGGGTCAGGAGAAGGACAAAATATTTGAACCCTAAGCAATCTGAAAGACCCTTTATGCTCAAAATCATCATTTTTATATAAGAGGGAAAAGACCTAGGAAGTTAAGTAATCAGGTTAGTTTGCGTCTGTTGTTGAGTGAAAGCACTTCACAAGTGATATTTAACTAGTTCTTGTTGGTTTTAGGCTGTGGCCAAGCTGATGTCAGTGGACTGCCGCTGTCACGGGGTTTCCGGCTCCTGTGCCGTAAAAACATGCTGGAAAACCATGTCTTCTTTTGAAAAGATTGGACATTTGTTGAAAGATAAATATGAAAACAGCATTCAAGTCTCAGACAAAATAAAGAGGAAAATGCGCAGAAGAGACAAAGACCAGAGGAAAGTGCCGATCCACAAGGATGACCTGCTCTACGTTAACAAGTCTCCCAATTACTGTGTAGAGGATAAGAAATTAGGGATCCCGGGGACACAGGGCAGAGAATGCAACCGCACGTCGGAGGGTGCGGATGGCTGCAACCTCCTCTGCTGCGGCCGCGGCTACAACACCCACGTGGTCAGACACGTGGAGAGGTGTGAGTGTAAGTTTATTTGGTGCTGCTACGTTCGCTGCAGGAGGTGTGAGAGCATGACTGATGTCCACACTTGCAAGTAACCACTCCATCTAGCCTCTGAAAACACTCCTCAGTGACAACAGCAGAGTGCCATCGTGCAGGGCTGGTGAAGCCCCCTGGCCTCCGAATCCCCAAATCTTTGACCCCTCTCAGAGTTCCCTTTACCTGGTCGATGTCCAGTCCATCACACACTGAGTATATGCATTTGGAGGGATTCTGCAAGGGTTAGGTTCATATTTTGGTGATCTGGAAAATATATATTGACATACAAGGAATTTGGCTCCTAAGCAACAAAGAATCAGAAAGAACCTTCATGTAGAAAGACCTGGTGCATCCTCAAGATAAGATCCTTGACTATGGAACTTAGTTACGGAACTCAGTAGTGGTGGGTGAATATCAGTTACTTTTAAAAGACACCTCTTATAGCAGCAAGGAGCAGTACACATGAATCTCATTTATTCTCTCAGTACTCTAGATGAAGAAATTATATTAAGTATTTGTGCATAGAAACAGACGTTGAAAAGTTAACAGAAATGGTGGGTGCTTACTTACCCTTTCATGCATTTCAAAAGGAAGGCAATTAAAATGAATTTTCACAAGTGATATAATATTCCTAAAAAGTGTTTGTTAGAGGTAATTAGTGACAAAAGGTAAGAATCAAGATGTAAAAAAAAATAAAATGTATAATTTGGATTTTAAGTGGCTTCTAAGTAGGACCGTTCCTAGAAAAATCTCAAGAAGGTATACCTACGATAGTAACCTTTGATCTTTGCCTTCATATTTTAATTGTAGACCAGTTTCCACTATTAAAAAACCCAACTCTGAATTACTGTTAGAGGAAGGGCTCCTGAAAGCAAGTGGGAAAATCAGAGGTAAAGGACTCGCATCCAGTATAAGGAAAAGCACCCATTAAAAGTGTAAAAACAGTATTTTGTATAGTATTTCACTTTAAAAAGTTTTATATTTTGTAAATACACTATTTAAGTTATGATATATATTAAACCTTAAGACATTTATTGCCAAAACCAAAAAGCTAAGGCAATAAAATTATCTCAGAAATAATATTAGCTTCTGTTTCTTTTCATACTATCAACTTACTTTTTTTATATATTGAAAAAGAAGTTATTGAGTAGTTATATGGATGTGTATTTTTTGCCAAAATGAGTTTTATAAGTATTATAGATTAAAATATGCTGCAAAATATTGAGGATTGTGTTATTTCAGCAGTCAGATTAGTTGAACTCTGTTTTTAATTAGTTAATGCTTAACTTGTAAAATTATTATAGTAAGTTATAGAAAAAGTATAAAAGTCTTAACTGGAAAAAAAGAATCTAAATCAGAATAATGATCAATTTGTGGATTTGCTTTCCTGGATATTTATTGTGTTGTATATAATGCTGCTTTTCCATGCAAACGTTGAATGGCGTTCCTTGTCTTGGTGTTCACACGTGTATATTCATCATATTTTACAAGGTTCCTAGTATAAACTACAGGGCTATATTTAAGGTTGTATTTTCATGTAAATGCTTAGTTTTTATGAATTGTTAAATATTTCAGAATTATATAGAAAAATAGATTTCTAAATTCAGAATGGACAAAGAATATTCTTTTTTAAAAAAATAATAAGCTAAAGAAATGTTTTCCTGTCCCCCAGGTCTCATTCTATTTCCTTTCAATCCCATTTCCCAAGGCAGAACAATAACTTGTGGAAAAGAGTAAACACATGGAAAATGTTTCAGGTCTAATATTAAAGTCAAGGCTAAACTTTTAAACGTGACTCTTAAAGTTTAACAGATTATTATTTGTTGAATGAGATACTCAGAAATGACAAATGGGCAAACATAATGCTTATTTTAAAAAGTGGCTTACCATTGTCTGGCATCCACTGATTAGAATAACCTTAAAAATAGACGCTTATTCTCATGCCTTTTTTTGCAAAGTAAATCTATTTTTCCACGTGGAAAATACTCACGTTTTTTTAAAATGATGAATACTGTAGCTCCCATTAATGACCAGTTTTTTCTATTAGCTGGAAAACTTTTCATAATTACCTTACCAACCAATTGTGAGAATCAGGCAGCCTCTAATTCACAAATACCTGATATTATGTATTCATTGCTGGGCAGGAACTCCTAACTCCCAAGGCCCATGTGTTTAGGCCTGCCTTTTCCTTTTCCTCCCTGGCATCATCATGGAAGCTGTCTGTGAATCTCTCACCTGTTTCACTGACCAAAAATCTGGCTTAGGCTCATTTCCTTCCCATTCCGCATCATGGGGGTAGCACCACTGAGTTCCTGAGTACAAATTTGGAGGCCCAAACATTCCTATCCACTCTAGGCTATTTTGCCTGCATAGTTCAGGTCTCTCTATGTTGCAAGTAACAGGAAATGCAACCCAGACTGACAAACATAAAAGGAAATGTATTGACTTAGTAACTGAAATACTCCAGAGCTCTGCCTGGTTAAAGTGAAGCCTGATCTTCTATGGTGTCATCTTCTACGTCATCTTCTACATCAGGCTCCCCCACCCCCATCCAGCAGCTCCAGGGTCTCTGTTTTTGTTTTTTTGTTTTTTATCATCATGACTGCCACACTTCCAGACCTCATATCCTTCTACCACTCATTCAGCAGCGAGAGGGGTTCTATTCTTTGGAAAGAGATCTTTTTTTGTTTTGGCTTCTCATACAGGAGAGAGGAAAAAAGTTATTTCTTAAGAATGCCTAGCAAAGGTCATCACTGGCCCTGATTGGTTAGTGTGCCCATCCCTGAGCCAATCGCAAAGGCCATTGGTTGTTGGCATTGGGTGATACACTGATTTGATGCATGCAGGGGGACTGGCAGTGTGGTTTATTCCAACTAAACCCACATAGACTGTGAATAGGAAAGGAGTGAGTACGCAGAGAAAAACTAGGGTGTTATTTTACTGTGAAAGGGTATCTCTATATTGGGCAGCACAGTTATTAGATGTCCACAGCTCTAGTGATGTGTTTAGGAAACAGCTTTCTATGGTATCATAGGGTCAGGCTCACAGCCAAGACAAAGCACTGTGGGTACAAAATTCCTTGATTTGTTTAAATGCCCTTTATGGTGTTAAAAGGGAAGAGGAGGTAGTCTAGTGTATTAATTTTCAACTTAGGAGTTCAACGTTTTTGTAAATTTGAAACTAAGAGAAGCGGTGATCAGAGCCAATGATGACTCTTGAAATGAGATCAAGACAAACATATCAAGTGGCATTATCTGTAATCTCTGGTTAAGGAAGTTAGCTAATTGAAGCATTTTGCTGATAGTAGTACTTTACAAAACATTAAAAACACTTAAATTTTTTAAAATATAAACAACTGCATTATTTCCTTATTTTTAATCTAGAGTGACAGTTGTGTTGTTTTTGTTTTTAAGGAAATGATGATAGTTATAGTAAGAATAACAATGGATTTTTATTACATAAGTTAGATGCTGTGACTATCTTGTAGCTTTTGTAACCATGAAATATTCACAGTAAAGATTTTAGAAACACACTTCAATTTTCTGAAGAACTGTCAGTACTCATATGTTTGGTTTTACTCAGCTTAAAATGTGGAACCAAAAAAGCTTTCCATCAAAATATTTATTTATAGGCAATGTGGTGAGCTGTGGGTCCTGTTGCATCACCTCCCAGAGGCCATCAGAGACTCAAGAATTAAACCGACCATTTGGAGCCAGTTAGTTATTTATCCAGAACACTGTAATCCACTTAGCTGACTTGAGGGAAGAAAAATTGAAATCACATCTCCAGGAACCATGAAAACTCTTCAAGACAAGCCTTTCTTAAGGAAAGTTGGCTAAGAAGCCTTGATTAAAAAAAAATTAGTTTCACTATAGACCAGATGTGATAAGTCATAATATTTCTTGGAGTGGGATGATGTGGTAAGCTGAGAACGACAAATGTGTGTGGCATGGCATGAAAGGGGACACAGGGGCACCCCAAGGACTCATTTCCTGTGAAAAAGAAAATCATGTTAGTAAACACTTAGGTAGCAGTTACTATGCACCAGGGGTTGTTCTAATTATGTATACCTAAAGACATTTGATCTTCACAATAACCTCTGAAGGTAGGTACCATTATTGGGGTCCACATTACATACATGAGGAAACAGACACCATATTCGTGAGTTAGGCAGCTAACCCGATGTTTCACAGAATGGGCTGGCTTCAAGGTCTGTGCCCTTGACTATCCTATCATTACTGTGCATCTTGCAGCATAGGATGGTCAGTACACTGAGTTTACAGTAGGTCATTTAAAGAGTTTGAAGGGTTTATGAATGTAATGCAAATTGCAGGATGTTCCTTCATGGTTTGGTTTTATAAACTTGGCTGAGGAGTGGGAGTGAAGTGATGGGAGAATGGAGATCTTAGAATGCTCCATGAAATATAATTAAAATACACTGCCTCTTGATTTCTAAGCTCAAAGTGATTTCAACTGCCTGCTATTTTAGATCCCAGTGCGACTCACAGTTGGATTCTGCAAGAACCTAACAATCATTCCAAAAGGAAATGACTAGGGGTATAGATCAAGCTAATTTAATGCGACGTTAAATAAATACTTACATCCTTTTTATTGTTGAGCTTACAGCCAATTGTTACATAAGGTGTTATTTTTAATAGATGGGTGAAATTTACCATTGGTAATGGTTTACATTCGCATCCAAAGAAAAACCACGAGAGATGGTTTGCACGATTAAACTGAAACGAAGTCATGTAGAAAAAGCAGCCTTTCCCACTGGTTGTAAAGGGAGAGTAATAATGGATGTGGACCAAGTCAACACAAACTGAAGTTTTATATGTGACTTTTTAATTTTCAGAATAAGTGAAAGGATCTGATTTGTGGAGAATTGGAAAAGCAGAAAGAGGTGGATCTAGGGCTGCCCGTTTCCCTCTGTCAGACTGCCAGTGAGATCTCTCAGGGCTTCATCTCCATGGAGGCCAATAGCCTCCCCTTCTGCACGTTAGTAACAACCGAACGCTGGCCATGTTTGACCAAAGAGAGGGAAAGGTGACCCCCTACAGCTCCCGATGACTCTTTGATTAAAGAATTATCAGCAAATTGAACTCTATACATTTACACATACCTCAGACTCATCATGAACCAAGGAGTGGCTATACAAAATGTAAGTCAGTAATTACTATTACCTGTGTATTTCTAATATATAATCCCTACTTTTAAAATAAGCTCTTAAAATTTTTCTGTCAGTTGTATTTTTTCACAGGTTTGAGATATAATTAATATATAACATTGCATAAATTTAAAGTCTTATTCATTGTACTTGCTTCATCTCAAACCCCCTGCCAGACAACTAATATCTCACAAGGCTCTGTGCAAGGCAAGAAATAGCATGTGATACAATGGCAAAGTGGGAAAACTTAAAAATGAGTTTGACCAATCCTCCTTAACATGCCCCCCCCATTTAATAGTGGCAGGCTAAATAATTTCACACATTGAAAAGTAAACTTTCACTATTCAAAACGAAGAAGTCTTTCCTTTGCTGGATTGGACCCTTTTCCTCCTCCCCACAAATGCCCAATTTATTATTTCTTGAGAAACTACACTTTAAAATTTGTTGACTATAAGAATGACAACCTCAACATTCCAATCGCCACAACTTCTGTGATTGTGCCAATGTCCCCCACACCCAGGGCTGTGATAAGGAATCTGCTCCAACAGAGTATTTCTATAGTAGAATTTTAATACCCCCTTGCAAGGTGTTAACAGGTCCACAAGAATTGGCTTTCAGCCTCATTCCCGAGTTAAAAGTTTCAAATTTCTATAGCAGTCAAGGTAGAAACTCATTTACTGATCTTAAGCCTCAGGTCCTCTCCCTAAAGGAGAGCAGGAAGTTATTGGGGGGCAGCCTGTGCTCCCCTTGATAAAGGACACACAGGACTTAAGGGCTGGTGCCGCTCCTCACACCCAAGGAAATTCGCACCTGTGACCTTCCACGTCTTCCGCCAGGGCCTGCCCACAAGAAGCACAATTCTCAGGTACTACCTACTACTGCCTTCTCCACGAACTGAACCTATTTTGAACTATAGTGCTCAGCACTGCTTGCTTTTAAATCTCCCCTCTGTTCAGAGCTTGCACTTGCAAGACATTCTCCTTGAAGTTCATTTCTGCTCTTGTCAAAAAACCACACAGGTCTTCTCTAATCAGGCTTCCCATCCAGAGGGGTATACAGAAGTCGGTTTCCAAACTGGCCGTTGTATTCCACTGGTGACACAGAAGGCTCAGACTCGGCAGGGAATTTGCTGGTCCCAGTTTTGAACTTATGAGCTTGTTCGTCTCATCATGCCACATTCAAGCAGTAGTGATAGCGCAGTGGACAAGCAGAACTGCATTTGAATGCATAATGCATTGCTAAAAATGTGCTTGAAAGTCAAATGTATGAATCTCAAATAACAGACTTACCATTGTGTTGATCCTAGAAAGCCAAAAAATTTTTAATTTCCCATTTAGGATTCCTCTCTTGCCCAGGCTGCCTTGGGTAAGAACCTTCACAGGACTTCAGCGCAAGAAGCAAATGCTAGTGTGCAAGGGTGCTTAGTCCCTGCATCTCCTTTGACCTGATGGCTATCCCACCTGCCCCTGAGCAGGAGTTGGGTGGGTAGTTAGATACTAAGTGCAGGAATCAAGGTCTGTCATTCTGTGCTCCCCCAAACTGGGGCTTCAGCAGAGTGTTCCCCTATAAGGTTCCTCAACCTGGGTGGCCACAGAAGAAATCAGAATATACTGCCTGTTGTACGACCATGTGATCATTTGAAATGTTAGCCACCTGGAAATACACAAACACTTGAATTCTGCATGGGAAAGGTAGTTTGTGGTCAGTGTGCAGTGAGTGGAAGGGTAGGTAGTATATACTCTGAGACTTGGAGGTCAAGGGGAACCTCAGGTGAGTAGCTGCATCTTCTCCTATAACATTAGTGCCTGAGTTATTATTGGTTCCCTTGAGGCTTGGTGTCTTAGTCCCTTCAGGCTGCTCTAACAAAACACCATAGACTCAGTGCCTTATAAACATCACAAGTTTATTTTCTAGTTTTGGAGACAGGGAAGCCCAATATCAAGGTGTCAGCAGATTCGGTTTCTGGCAAGGGCCTGCTTCCTGGTTGACGTACAGCAATCTTCTCGCTCTGTCCTCACATGGTGGAAGGGGCCAGAGAGCTCTCAGGTCTGGTTTATACGGGCACTAAACTCATTCACGAGGGCTCCACCCTCATGACCACATCACCTCTCACAGGCCCCAGCACCTAAAGCCATCACTTCGGGGGGTTGGGTTTCAACATATGGATTCCCGAGGGCAGAAACAGCCCTTCAGATCATAGCACCTGGTATGATGGAAAGCTCTTAGCTAACTTTTCTCTTGGGCTAAACATTCCTAGTCTACAAGAGCCATAGTTAACGGTAACAGAAATACAAGCAGTTCTGTTTAATGAGTAGTGCCTGCCAGGCACTTTGGTTGCCACACAGTATTACTCCTCCTTTACAGGTGAGGATACCGACTTTCTCAAGGTCCTCAGGTAACAGTGGAACAGAGTCATGCTCAGGCAGGTCTGACTCTTCACCAGTATGCTGCAGTGTCTCATTCCATAATTATCTCCTCTTTCAAATTCTAGGCACCTTTTTTCTCTGGCTATCAAGCGAAACAAATATGGTCTGATTATATGGGACATTAGGAGCTTACAGGTTCATAAATCAATTTTTCCTAAAAAAGGCAGTATCTTCTAGCAATTGAGCCTCAGCTCTTCTTTCAATATTCCCTGCACTCCAGTGGTAGGCATAATTTATGCAGAGCTGAGCGGTGAGTTTAGTAATGGCAGCAAGTGGTACCCCTGGACTCCGTGCTGGGGGATTGTCTTCCCTGTGTTGATTGCTTACAAACTGCCTACGGAACAAACCCAAGAGAAACCCTTCTCCTGTCTGTAACAGAAAGGCTAGCCAATCCCTTTCCCTTTCTCAGCACTCCTGGAAGAGACACCCTAGTGTGGAAAGTGTTTCCTGAACGTAGCTGCCCTCCGGTGGTCTGGCCCTCACCAGGCTGGCGGAGGTTCGGATTTCTGGGTGGGCTCTCACCGCGCTGCCTGCACTATCCTCTGCTGCTCCCTCCAAGCTGCCAAGAGACTGACTGACATTCCCAAGCCACCGGGGTGTCTGCTTTTCACACTATTGCACCCTCGTATTGACTGGAACTCAAAAAGGGGATGGGGGACGAGGCAGTAAGCTGTAGGAGAGGACAGGCCTACTTAAATTGAGGAGCCTTGAGGAAAATGGAGATTAATTAGCCACTGGCATGTGACAATGAAAATCTAAGTATGTGACAGAAGAGTCATCCTGGGAAGAGACAGCAAAAGAATTCTTCTTAAGAATGTTCAGAAAAGGTGAAATCGGGCACTTTATTCCACAACTCAGTTTCCCTGCACGGACTGCTGTCCAAGGCCACCAAAGAGGTGGCGAACCTCTTCCCTGATGAACACGAGTGATTTTTCCTTTTCCTATTTTTAAGTGTTCAAAATACATTCTAGTTTTAACTGCTATATTAATACAAGACAGAAATTTATCATTTACAAATGGGGATTGTTGCCCTGGCTGGTGGCTCAGATGGTTGGAGTGTCATCCTGCGCAGTGAAAGGCTGTGGGCTGGAGCCCCAGTCTGGGCACATGCTCGGGAGGCAACCAACCGATTGGTGTTTCTCTGTGTCTCTCTCCCTTCCGCTCCCTCTAATACACAGATCCTCCAGGGGAGAATTAAAAAATAAAAGTAAAAAATAAATAAAAATTGGGAGTGTTAAACAAGTTGAATATAACTATCACCTTTTTGGGGATGTCAAATTATTTATGATTTGTGTAAACTGTTAGTGTATAAAGTGCAATACAGGCTGAATGCATTGAGCTTCATCTGACAAAGTTATAAAATATTAGCTGATCTATTTAAAAATAAATACAATAAAATATAGGAAGAACAATGATGAACTTTGCTGTAAACAAACTAAAGACAGGAATATAAAGACTGGCTCAATTTTTCTTTAATTTCCCAAATGATCTCTTACTGTCCTACTGTCTTTGTTCAGCATTAGTAGAGATAACACCCTTGCTCTGGGAAAGCACCTATGATTACAAATAAAAAAATATGCATCGATAGGTCCTTAAACACGATTTCAAATACCAAAGTGTCCATGCCAAATTTCTGGTTTTAATAAAGAAAATTTTTAACATTAAATATTGTTTCATGTATAATGCTGATTTTTAAAAGGCATCTGAAAATGTAGTAAAATTATTGCTTCCAAAGTTAAACTGGCACAATCTATTCAAGACAGAATTGAAACAAAAGCAAAATGCACCAAAGCGATTACATAGCCAATCTTTGTCCCTTCTTTCAACATTTTATACACCTTTTCAAAGCTATGTATCATTTTGTAATCTTTATCTTGAAAGGGATGTCCTGCTACCTAAATAATTAAATTCTATACATGTTAAGACATATCCTGAGGACACTGGTGTGTTTTAACCATAGGAATGAAGTACATTTTACACATTAAGCAGTACAATAAATACTTGGCAAACCTTAATGTGAAGTTCTGTAGGCATATTATTTTGCTAGACAGTACAAAAAAATCACAATGGAAAACTGAAAGTATCTATTTTCATTATCTTCTTTTAAAAAATGCAACATTTTATTTCACAGTCTCTGGAACTGTAAAACACTTTATAATTTACAGAATTAAGGAAAGTATTTTAAACGTGAAGATACACATGCTGAAGGTGATTTAGCATGTAAGCACCAAAGTCTGAAAAGTTTCCAAAAATTGTTGAACTTGTAAGGTGCATTTATTCATGAACTACACTCAGCTTGAGGGGGAAAAAAAGTACTGCAAACCTTATTAGTATTTAAGAAATAGCTGAATAGCTTCCAACTTGATTTACAGCAAAATGAAAGATACTGCTTTTAGTTTTTATACAAATTATTTGAAATTCAGATTCAATTTTAAGTGCTGCCTTTTAATGTGAGCAGCAGTTTGAACATAAAGTCTGTTTGTGTTCCAGTTTGTGCACTATCTGTTTGTGTACTATTCTTACACAATAAGTATTTAACGGCCTAAAAAAATAAAAACTTGAGTCAATTAGTGAACATCTGAAGTTAACAAAAACATTAGATCTCTACATTTTTATCTAGGATTGGGTAAAAAGTTATTCTTGTATCAAATAAAATTATTTTGTAAATGTTATCAGTCTATTCAGTAAGTAGGTTTTTTTCCTCAATATGTCACTAAATTTATCTTCTGGCAAAAACTGCTATTATGAAGTTAAATGAAGTAAATGCAAATTAATTTCTTGGTTTATAAATCACAATTATTGTGATATTAAAGCATGCCACTTTCCAAATCACTTTGTTGATGCCGACAATGATTAAATAAGGAAAATATATGTCGGTATCGCTCTCCACCGACAGGGCTCAGGGGGGGACTTGGCGGGTTTCCCCGGTTCCGTGGAGCTGCCACTTCCACCCTCTCTCTAAATGGCTTACCCAAAATCAAGTTACTCACATTGCTAAGACAAAATCCAGCAAGCTATAGTCCAGAAAGCCACCTACATTTATATATTTACTTTTTACTGTGTACATTAAAAAAAGAATTTTATTGTGCTTTTCACATGTCTGCTACAAGTTTTCCCATCGTTGTATTTCTAGGTTTCTTGGGAAGGAAGGGAAAGTCTAATATGAGAGGTACATCAAGAGAGCCAGACTGAAAGTAACACTGCACACACGACCAGCCCGATGTCTTTGTGACGTACAAAGTACTGTCATCACAGTCTCCCTCAACTCCACATTATTCCATGGCAGAGTTTCACAGCAACCAGTATAGGTATCAATACACTTTTCACAATCTGTTCAGTTATTGGTCGAGTATGCTTTCAGAATTAAAAGATGTCATTTCCATAGCAGTCTAAACATTGTACTATTTGAGAAATCTGCTAAGAAATGGTACAGTGATTCACTCATTGTGACGACTATTTACAAAGGAATCTATTTACGTTAGCAATAAATAATCCTGATATCAAAAGAGAATGCTCATGCACACACCGAGATGGCTGCATGCTCCTAAAATATGTACATGTGGTTGCTCCACTGGAGCTCTCTCAGGAAGAGTGAAAGTGCGTGTCCTTGGATTTTCCCAACGTTAGTCTTGCTTCTGGGGGACACATCCTTCCATTTCCACCACCTCCGGCCAGCCTTCGTATTTGTTCGTGTCCTTGTTGTTCTTTATATGCTGGGGGAACACGATCATGGGACACAGTTTAAAAACCTCTGTGGGTTGCTTATCTGTAATAACATACTTCAGTGCCCTCATTTCAGTAACACTCATGTCAACAAGGAGTTTGTATAAATTATTATTCAAGATATTAAATGTGCAACCCTTGGGCCTGGCATGTAGTCGCAGATCTTCAAATAACAGCTGGAAGAACTGAACATTGCAGATGCTTTTTAAAGGATCATCTGTTAGCCAAAAAGTAAAGCTTATATTCTACCAAGTTCTAAAGTATTTCCACACTTAGTTGATTATTACTATCAAAAGCTCAATTAATATTTTTAATAACTGATGCTTCCTAAAAGGTTTAAGGTAAAAGGAGTCATATGCCAATGCACTATCCTGTAGGGAAAAAAATCCCATGTACAACTTGAATTTATGAAATTAAACAGTACCACAGTTATTTCAAATAACTGATTACCAAGAACTTAAAAAAACAACTGACCATATTAAATGTCTGCTCTAAGTTTCAAATAACTGGGATTAGACTATGTACCAAGCACTTCCACACAATTTGCTTTTGTCCATTAATGATGAAGATCTGAGACACTTACTTGTTCAAAAGGGCTTTTTGTCTTAATGCCTTTCCCTCCGCAGAAGACCCAGTTGTCTCTAAAACCAAGACTGGTAATGGACGTGCTCCCCAGTTCGGCAATGAGCCTCCGCGCCTCGTCATTGAGTCTGGGAGAAAAAGCACAGTACGGTAAACACAGTGCACTGGTGTTACCTAAGTGACCCTGACTAGGCCAGGATATTTAACACATAACACGAGATAAAATGAGGAAATGTAAGCTTAAATAGGACAACATAAAAAAGAATAAAGACATTTTTTAGAGTAACAGTCCTGTCTGAAGTTTCTTTTTAAATTTAAGTATAGTTGGTATATGATACTATATTAGTTATATTAATTTCAGGTGTACAACATAGCGATTCAATATTTTTATACCTTACATTGTGACTGCCCCATTAATTCCTACTATTTGAATTTTTTAGTGACAAAAGACATGACATCTAGCAATTAATTTTAGGTTTAATTAAGAAGTACCTTTTAGGTATCTTTGTGTCATAATAAAAATTAACTTTCATCTATGCCTGTCAAATACGTAAGGGACACTACAGTGAGCAGATGCCGTCAAGGCTGATGCAAGGCCTTCGGAAGCCAGTATCTTTGTCAAATTAAACATCACTTTGCATCTCGACTAAGTCCTTTGTAAATTGCATTTGAATAAAGGTAAATGCTGATAGAAATCTAGCTTTTTCTAACTCTATATTTTCTTTACAATAAAATGAACTTCGGAATAGGGATATATTATACTTCAGTGGTAAGTGCCACGTGGTTATTTAATAAAAATGAGAATATTAACCACATAGCAGCCAGGAGGACGGACAGTGGCAAAAGCCAGCTGCCAGGGAAACTACTCACTGAAAGGGGTCATCAATGACTTTTGTGTAGGTTGTTAGGTCATCATCCTAATGTTGAATGGTTCTCAATCTCCCCTCTGTCTCAAAGGGAGAAGAAATTCAGCAGGCACATGCCAGCTGTAGAGATGGGAGGAAAGGGAAAGAAAAGAAGATAACTAAAGGCCTCCTGTGCAGCTGCTGCCAGTAAGTCCTTTATGCAATTGCAAGACAGCATTACAGTCAGTTTGAGCGGTTTGCTCTGTTAAAAATCTAATGCAAGTTTGTTGGGGGAAGGAGTGGGGCTAGGTAAATAGTGGAGGTTGCTACCTGAGAATAGCATGAGGGTCAGCAAGGAAGGTGTGCAGATATCTTTGAAGCATCCCATGCTAATGCCAGTTAGCACATTTAAGATATTAATAAAAAAACACTAGGTCCAATAGTTCTCATTTAAATAACTTAAAAATAAATGGGGTTTTATATGTATATGTATATATGTAGCTTCATAGAACAAGAAAAAACTACATATATTATTAGTGATTTATGCACCCCCCTTGCCCAGCAGCCAAGGCAGTGGAGCTGTTTTTAGCCACAGCTTGGGTCCTGGTGTCCTTCTGGGGGAGGTTCACTAGAGTCAGTGACAAAATCAGCTGTTGCCCTGGAATGTTTATCCTTTCAGGCTGAAATTTACATCAAGTGAAACATTTATAAGCGAGTGAAATCAAAATAAATGAAATGGACGTGCCAAAGAACCAGGGGAGTCCCGGCCTCCTGAAATTTTAAGACCTTCACATAGAACCTGGGGCATGTGCCCATGGCTTGCTCCCCAAAGTCGGTCTGGAGCCCTTTCCTGTGCACATCCTTAACTTCATGAATGAGCTATCACTTCTCATTTGCTAGCACACTCGATAAACAACTCTTGTTTAGAGGGGCACTCCCCGGAAGTATTGCCTAAACCCTGTTTTCTTCTTTGCAAGCAGTGTTAGCATGTATTGGATCTAGAAGGCAGTCAAATGCCACTTGTTAGTTTACCCAGTTCTTCTACATTCTGGCAACTTTCTTAGAACATCTTACTTGCACCATCAGCGTTAATAAGTGGGTTCTGTGGCTGTGACTAGAATAAATAGTACTGAAGTGCAAAGGTTGGGCAGTCAGTTCACTGCAAGGCCTAGTGATGACCTCAGTGCAGAGAGGCCTCAGGGCAGGATTCACAATTACATCTCAGAAAAATCACACACTGGCACTTCACAGGCTCTAGGATTGCTCATAAATAGCTGAATGTTAAGTTCAGAAATGCTGAGGGACAGCTATGCACACAAAACACTGCTTACAAAGTAGGTGGTTATCCAACTGCAGGCCTGGCCCCCGCAAGAAATTATGTAAATTCTTCCTTAGCTAAGAATTTTGTATCACTTAAGAGATATATTGAAGGGCTATCACTGTTACTTCTGAACTTCTGATTTTCAAGAGTGATCATTTCAATCTGTAGACATAAACTAAGCCAATTTAGCCAGAGATCTAGAAGCAATTTGAAAAGTTAGCTTCACATCTGGACTCTGCTGATCTCTCTCCTTACTCTCCCACAAGAACACCCTGGAGCCCGGTGCAGAAAGGCGTTAACAGAGCAGGCCTGAGTTGGCAAGGCTGAGGCTTGGCTGGAACCTGGAAACTCAAATTTCGACAGGCTTCCACCACTCCCAGAAGTGATGAGAATATTCACTGGGACTAAAATGTAAAAAAACAAAACAAAACAAAACAAAACCCCCAAAACCCAAAATGCAGTTTATGATAAACACCTACTTTCTTTCTGGAAGTCTGGAATTTTGGGATGTGTTGTACAGTTGGTGCCTATGTGAGTGACCAGCTTCCAATAAAAGTCCTGGACATTGAGTCTCTAATAAGCTTCCCTAGCAGACAGAGTCTCAGTGTCGTCACAGTTTGTTGCCAGAGGAATTGCGCACACTCTGTGTGACTCCACTTGGGAGAGGAATCTTGGCAACGTGGGCCTGCTTCCCCCTAGACTTCACCCCACACACCTCTGTCCTTGCAGATTCTGCCTTGCTTCCCTTTGCTGTAACGAACTGTAGCCATATGTGTGCAGGTCTGTATGCTGGGTCCTGAAAGTCCTCCTAACAAATCTTCACACCTGGGGGTCACCCTGGCATTCTTGCCACAGGTCTCTACCCATGTCTATCTACCTAGCTTATAAGAAGATACTTCTAAACTTTTCTGACCTGCCTATGTAGGTTTGGTGATTTTATTATTCCTCTTTGATATTTTCTATTCAACTAGATAAAAAAGGACTTCATATTTCAAAAACAATTTTAAAACCACACAATGTAGCTAATATTTCAAGCACTGGTTAATACACATAGGTGTAAAAATGTCCCATTTTTTAAAAGGCAGAGTAACTAATATAGTCATACACAGCATGAAGCTCAGAGAGAGGCTTTTTATTCTACATAGGAATACCATGAGTTTATTACATGTGTTTTAATCTTTACCAATGGTCTTAATTAGCTACACTGTTAAAAATTTATATAAAGTAAGTTATTTTAGTTAAGAATTTTCTTTAAAATACCATAAATACATTATCTTGCAACAGACCATAAAGTAGACAGACAGGAATCCAGTGTCTCTGGAAAAGATTCTGAAGTCACACAGAGTCTCGAGCAGAAAGAGAGGAAGTGGGATGGCAGGGGGCTCAGCTCTGCCACCCGCTCTGCTCTGCGGGTAGAAGCGGACCATCTAACCAAGCCCGGCTCCCTTTCTCGAGAAGTACAGAAAGCAAGGAGGAGACCTGATATTCTGGCCTCAATTCTGACTACCAGGGAAAAACCTGTGGGGAAGAACCTGTCAAAAAGCAGAAGTGTTAGGAACTTTGGGAGAAAATCACCACGTTACCTCAGGAAGACTAGAAAGCTCTAGGCATAGGTAACCATTAGCTGAGACTTTAACTTTCATCATATGATTGCTAATAATCTCAGGAAAGAAAAAGGGGAGGATAGTTTCTAGATTAGTGGTGTGATTAGAGTGATCTGTGATGTGCTTAAACTTAAAAAAATGAAGTATGCAAAAATACAGGGCAAACCCTATTCTACTGATAAAAACTCTACTAATGATAACTTTCACTACTACTACCTGGAAGGCCTATAGTGCTTAGAATGTGATGAGACTCATAAGGGCTTAAAGAACACAGAAAGAACTCCTGCTACTGAGTATGAATAATGAAGTGATCCACTGTTTCACAAGAATGATATAATATCGAGATGAAAGCACATCTTTTCCAGGGAGGCAAACACTCTTTGATCAACATGAAAAGGGAATGGTAGTGCAAGAATGTCCATGTAAGCACTCGGAAGTAAATCACATCTCCAGGCCCATGCATGCCACACACCGAAATTTTTAAGAGACTTGTTAATATAATCTTCAACATAGTGCAGTTATTTCAGAAGCATCATGGGAAATGGAGTTGCAAAGACATTAAAAGTTAAACATTCCAGTTTTTTTAAAAGATAAGGAAAATTTTAGAAATAGTCCAATAAAACCAATTTCAATTCCTAGCAAAACTCCTGAATGAATTACAAGATCCTGTGAGCATTAAAAAACAGAAGAAAAGAAGAAGTATAAAACAGTAAAAAAAACAGTAGAAAAGAAGGTAGTGGGAAAGAGGGAGGAACAGTCAAGTTAACGTCATCTCAGCTACTCCAGCTGTTGAAAATGTTTTCGGGCAGTAGATCAGGGCACTGTAATTAGCACAGTTCATGATTTCCAAGTGAGCTTCTTGATAGTCTCAGAAAATAGCCTCTCTGAGTAAACTAATGAGCCAGCACCTGGAGGGCATTGCTATTAGGGTCCATTGGCAGCTGTTTGAAAAGCAGTTTCTGCACTTGATTCATAGACAAATCTCTTGCAGGAGGCCTCCAGCAGGGTGGCACACGGTGCTGGGTAGGCATCCTCATCAGTGACTTAGAGTTAGACATAAGAACAACTCTGAGAGCATACAAAGCCTGGATCACGGAAACCTCATAGGACAAATGTCAGAATCAAGGCCAAGTGAGCCAAAAATAGGCAAAATTAAATTTAATGAGGATACATGAATTTAAAGTCCTTCATTTAGATGAAATAAAATCAAGTTCTAAGTGGGAAGAAAGACCTGACTTGGCAGTGGTTAAAAGAGGAAAGTCCAGGATCAAATGAAAAGATCAGAAAATTGAACTTAACCAAAAACGCATGAGCCAAAAATGTGATGCGTTTAAGGAAAACTAATATAATATGAGTCTGCATGAATATTCAAAGAAATGTCATCTCCACAACATGGTAAGCTAGCATCTCCACGGTACCCGGGACAGGCCAGACCACACCTGGAACACACTGTGCAGTGTGGGGCAGCGATTAGGAGACAATAATCAACCACAAAATGCCCAGGAAACACGGCCAGGAGGGTAAACTGACCTAGAAAATTAACACGACTAACGGTTAAAAGAGCCTTAGGTATTGAGCCTGGAAAAAAGAACACTGAAAGAGAAATGCCATTTAGCTTCCAACACTCGAAGTATCAAATGATTTGGGGAACATATTTATTGCTTTGTTGCTTCATTTACCCAAGCAAAGGACTATCAGGTGGAATTTAGAGGGAAACAACCCTGAGAACATAACATTTACTTCAGGATAGTTTTTGTTTTGCTTTATTTCAAACAGAGAAATGACAAGGGTACTGGAGCCATCATGAGGCGAGCAGCTCAGTGGAGGGATTCACAGAGAAGTTCCCAGGGAATCTGGCCTTAAAGATCTCTGACTTCAAGAGATCATTTAAATGGTTCACTTAGGCATGATGCTGACAGGTCATGGTGCATTCTCTCCAAAAGGAGACATACAACAACAAAATTTAGCTTGCTCACTCAAGCTATTACATTCTTTACTAAACAAAAAAAATCATCTTATTTTAGAGGGGCATGAGGTGGAAAGTAAGCACCATTTGAGACCTGCACTCCCTAAAGTGTAAGTTTTTCTTGGACATAGGGGTTTTATTTCTGTTAAATGTGCTTCCTGGTTGAAATCAAGAAACACTGGGATAAACAAAGGTAAAGAGAATTCTTTAGGACAAAACTTCAGAGCCCCTTATTGTAAACCCCTAAAAAAGTGCAAAATACTAGGCATCATCCCCAAACTTAAGTGACCACCAGTTTTAAAGGACTAAGATTCCACTGGAGACACTTGGAAGTGCTGTGATGGAGCCCAGTGTATGGCAGCCACTGGGATCAGAAAGGAAGAACTATGGGGAAATGAGTCCTGCCTTCCCTAACCAACACACATACCAACTCCCTATCTTGGAGAGAGCGGGCACATCCATTTTATCCTCTCCACTCCCTTCAGGTATAAGAGGGAGAACAAACCATTCCTTAGCGGGTAAAATGCAGCAGCTTCATGTAAAGAAAAGCCATAACACAACAGAGATTTTCATTCCCTTATAAAACTGGGCATACCACAACTGATGAATCATTTCCAATGTTCAGACACCTGCCAAGATACATGGCAACATCCTGTTATGTTTAATAGAGGCAGATGGCCCTTCATAAGGATTGTTTGTCCATTTCCATATAAAGGACATGATGCTTATAATTTATTTTACCGGTATTTAAAGGAGGGAAGTACTTGATACATCAATTAATGTTCCCCAAATTGAAAATGTATCCAGCTGGAATCCATTTAAATGCACACAAGTTGACAGTACATTTTACACAATAGAATACTATACAGCAGAAAGAAAGAACTCCTACCCTTTGTGACAGCATAGATAGATCTGCAGATTATACTAAGTGAAATAAGCCAGGTGGCGAAAGACAAATACCATATGATCTCTCCTATAAGTGGAATCTAATCAACAAAACAAGTAAGCAAAATATAACCAGAGACATTGAAATGAAGAACTGAAAGTAACCAGAGTAGAGGGGGAAGGGGATAATAGGGGAAGGACTATCAAGGAACATATATAAAGGGCACATGGACAAAACCAAAGGAGGTAGGTTCGAAGGTGGGAGGTGGGGATGGGTGGGGCAGGGGGCTGGGGTGGGGTGAAAATGGAGACAACTATACTTGAACATCAATTTAAAAAATTGCACAGAAGTTGACCAAGTGTAAAGATATCAAAGTTTAGATTTTTGCTTTTGCCTTATAGGTTGAGCCCTGGTCTGAGGCTGCTTTTGGTGCCTGTGATGAATGAACACCAGTATTAGCAGCTAAAGAGATAATATTATCCTTGACTCTGTTCTTAGGTATGGCTACAATTTACTATTAGCAGAAGGGGAACAGGTCTGATGCATATCAGGTATAGTAATGAAGTAACCTGGTGAAAAGGATGTGTCTATTCAGAAAAGACTTCAAAAAAATTTTTTTAAACTTCAAATTATCCATGTAATAGCCTCATCTCTCAGCAAAAGCAAACAGTAAGCTACTTGTTTTTGATAAAGCAAACCTATTATAGTCTATTTAGTTCTATCTAGGAAAATGGCAATGGCTGAATATGCCTGTTTTATTTAACCTTTGAACTATATGAGGAAGGGTCTCAAAAAAAAAACACCAGAATTATTTTCTGGAGGGCAGGCCTTTTGTAGTACAGACTTCCCCCACTAGGTCAGTGTTCTAGGAACCCATCTGTATCAGTGTACCAGCTGTTGTGAGAGGCTGCATTTGGCTTTAGTTGATTTTTTTGAAGACTCTTGCAACACATTTGCCCATTTCATGATGGGTGATTCACAAGCACACCTGCCCACACCCCGCTGAGTATTCAGCAGGTTTTGACCAAAAAAAGGCATGACCTCCACATCCCACCCTCCCTATTTACTCGATCTCACCCCTAGTAACTTTTTTTTTTGTTTTCCTGGATGAAAAAAGTCCTCAGAGAGAAATGTTTTGTCAATGTAGAAGCGGTGAAACAAACAAAAAAAAAAACAACCGAAGCACTAAAAGGCGTCAAAATCGACAAGTTCAAAAACTGCTTTGGGCAGTGGAAGTAAGGTCTCAATAAGTGTACTGCATTAGATGGAGAGTATTTTGAAGGTGATTGAAATTTAAACATGTAAGAATAAATACACAATTTTTTATAAATTCATTGTTTTTGGGGGGGGTCCTTCCTTCTAAGTTTAATACATCTTTAGTTGAACCAGATAAAATGCACAATGTCAATGAAACTGAAACATTCATAAAATGGCACTGCTTTCTTAGTGGAAATCAGCAATAATGTAACTACACGTTAAATATATGTATAAAAAAATCAAAAAGTAGAACAACATGCCATATTCCTGTGTGGAACTTGTCATTGAAAGGCTTTTCAATTAAAATATGTAAGAAATGTATTTTTACTCTTGACAAAAGTCATCCGAGAAAAGTATCATAGGGAAGGTTTCTGAGAAAGAAGACTATTAAATGGGAGTTTGCCCCACCAAAAAGGTATTAAGTGTACTTACTTTATTTAAATAGTTATTAAAACTGAAATAGTATCTTATTGAAGCAGGAATAAATAGATGAACAGAACTTCCAGAAACAAAGTCAATTTTACATTTGAAACAGCATCACAACCCCAGGCCAGATCCCTGGCACCTCTCTGTGAATACCTACCTCCGCTGAACAGGCATTGTAAGTCACTACTGAAAAGTCAGTTACAAGCGGATTTTTGAAAATGTAAAAATAGTGAAATCACTGGAAGAAAAAAGTCTACTAAATATTGAATTTGGAGATAAAAAAAATACTTCTCAAGTATGGTATTAAAGTAGAAAAACTAAAAAGGAAAACCCACAGATTTGGCTATATAAGATTCAGTCTAAACATCTAAATGTCAAAACAATATAAATTAACAAAATCAAAAGCAAATAATATGCAAAATATTACATTTTAATATAAGAAATGGTTAATACCCTTAATATAGGAAAGGCTCATAAATAAATGAGAACCAATCTGAATGGTCAAAAAAACTATTTATAAAATAAAGACCTAAAAATATGGAAAAAAAATACAATCTCACCAATAACCAAAGAAAGGCATATTAAAACAAAACTCCTTTCTAAAGCTGCTAGAATTGGAAGTTTTAAAAAATTAACAGTGTCATGGAACTTCTGAAAGACACATAAAACTGGTCCAAACTTTAAAAATCCTTTTAAAAATTGTGCTCATCCTTTAATTCAACAACCTTACTTCAAGTAAGAGTAGTGAGATGAACTGTATCTTCTTTGTGCTTTTCTGTATTTTCTGAATTTTTACAACATATATTGTACGATTTTAAGTAAGAAGTTACAAATTACCATCTATTAAACTTATGAAAATATACGGGAATTATTATTTCACAATCCCACTTCTAGGTATTTCCCCTAAGGACATAAGGCGAAAAAATAATGTAAAAGGGTATTTATCACAACATTATTTATAATACAAAAAACTTGGCAATAACAGGGAGCTTTTAAATAAAGGTGGGTCAACTGTGGATGAACCATAATAAAAATATCATCAAAGAATATTAACATCAGTGAAAACAATTTAAAGTTCTTAAAACAGAGAATATAAAAGAGAACAGACTTTATGTATGATGGGATCCTACTTATTCACCAACATATGCATAATGAATACACAGAAAGACAGAAAGAAACAACCTAAAAAATGTTCATAGTGTTCATCTGGAACCCTGTTCTATTTCAGATTTTTTCTCAATGAAAATATATTACTTTCATAGATACAAATTACAGCTCAGAAAAGTTGTGCAGCCTTTAAGTTTACATACTTGGTTGCTCCATCATCGTACGTTGCCATTAAGACTATCGTTCCATCCTGTATGGACTTCAGAAACTCAATCAATGGGGCCACATCTGAAGAAGAAGATTGAAGTTTTTGTTTTTAATGACTGGGTAACCATCATGATAATCTGTAAAGTTAATAAAATAAAATACTAAATTTGTGCCCTGGCTGGTGTGGCTGAATGGATTGAGCGCCTGCCTGTGAACCAAAGGGTCGCCGGTTTGATTCTGGTGAGGGCACATGCCTGGGTTATGGGCCAGGTCACTGGCCGGCAGGGTGTGAGACTCGACCGGTTGGTGCATCTGTCATAATTTGAAGTTTCCCTCCCTCTCCTTCTCCCTCGCTTCCCATCTCTAAAAATGAATAAATAAACTCTTTAAAAATATATATTTAAAAATACTAAATTTGTAAATAAGTTCTAATGTAATGAAACAAGATAAATCTTATGAACATGTTAACAAATTAAGTTTGTTTCTTAATATGATGCCACCATAACTTAAAATTTCCCACCCTGATTCATCCTGTGTGTCTTCTGTACAGACATTCAAGGGGCCAAATGAAAACCCCACAGAAAAGTCATGGTAAAGCATTACTTATAATTTAAAGTAAGGAGCTCGGAGAGCAGGAGAAATGCTCACGGGCTCCCTCAGTATGTGTAAATTTGTTTATGTGGGTACTTTTCTAAAAAGAGGGTACATAAATTTTATCCAATTCACAAAAAGATCTGTAATTTTTAAAAAGTATATAAATGTGTATACTGATTTAAGGGATCTTCTGGGCATAGCTACTTATTATAAACTAAGGGAAAGAATGCAGGTTAGCTAGATGATGTTTTTGAGATGAAAAATCATATGTAAAGGAGTCAGTTTAGTCAGTCCAAAGGGCTTGGTTATGCCCATCTTCAAATTACTTATTCTTTTTTTACAATTTCAGACAGAAACCTAAAGGAGCCAAAGCTTTGAAGTAGTTGTCCTATAGAAAATATAACTCAGGTTTTTTAGGCTCTGAATTTCGGTACCACTGTTCTTAATCATATACCACAAGCAATTTTTATTTATATATATATATATATATAATACGACTGATCACTTAAACATAGCTGGACATTTAGTGAAAAGAGAAACAAAGTGAACACAAAAATGAAGCCACGAGGCTGCCGTTAACGGGCTACATTACACCGAGGCGACGAAAACGTCAGCGCTGGCAACGCAACACCACTCACCACTCACACTTACCTCCACCCCACATGTCAAAATATTTAGTGTCTAACACTTCTCCTGTTTTTCCTGAAAGACATTGAATTCATATCACATTATGCAACTGAAGTACACTCCACACTGTACAAAACAAATATTCATAGTCAAAGACTCATGTAAATTATCTTGAGAACGACTTCAATTCTGAACTTTACCATCTGAATTATATATTTCTAAAAGGTAATATTTAGATAGTCTCACTAGCCTTGTAAGCCAAAGAGCAGCACACACTGGGGACAATTAATTCCAGTGCAAAGTTAGACATTTTAGACATCCTTTTATAAAACTTACACTTATTTCCCTTTGTAAAACTTTTTTAATTAATAAATAGACAAATAGGTATAGAACCTTTTACCTAAGAAACTGAAGAAACTAGAAACGCAAAATTTTACTTCTTGTTCTGAAAAAAGTAAAAAATATTTCCCTACATTATGGACCAGGAAAGGCAGCTGTGTTTTAATTCCCTTATATAGCTTTATCAAGGTATTATTGTAGCAGAGAGAGACCAGCATGCAGGAGGCCTCACTTCATGGGTTCATATTTTCAGATTTGACCCAGGGTTCATAAACTTATTTACTCTAATGAACTTATCAGAAGAATGTGGACAAATATTGAAAAGCCTTGTTTTCATTCCTCTCCCACCCCATTCAGCAGTGCATCACCCTTTGTCCTTGACACCCTCTCATTCGTATCAATTTCTCTTCACATGTTAGGGTTCCAACACTGGGCAGGATGTCATGGATTTAATATGAGATGGGTTGTATCCTGACAATCCCATAGGAAGCTCTCCATACACTGCCAAAGAAACTGAATGCTTCTAAGAAAGCATGTGAAAATCTTCAGACATGAAGTCTCCACCTAGAGCTGGATTATTTTAGGGGGCAGTTGGGAAGGCAGGTAGGGTTTTGCTGTCAAGAGGGGCGCCTTCTGCCCTGATCCGTTGGTATTGTTAGAGTAGATTTTACTTTGGAGCATACGAATACCCACCAAATACACCCATCAGCTAAAATAATTATCCTTACCATTTACCAAGGCAACATTGATCCCTCTTCCAACATTATTCTTAACACCACTCATTAAACTGAAGGGGAAAATATCAAGACAAATTTAGAATTAGATATTGTACAAATATACACAAAGAAAAAACCTTCCAAAAAAATAAAAGGTTGGGGGTATTATATATATACAATTATTTAGTACTGCAGAGAAGATTAAAAGGTCTCTACTAAGTCAGAGAAAACAGCCCAATAATACCTTTAAAGCAATGTCCTTAAATAAAATTTCACAATGTCCTTAAATATATACTTCACAGGTAAAAATATGTATTAGCAAGAATTAAGGCAAATTATTAAAACTTTCTTGCTGCTCTAAGATTATGAAATACCATTTCAGAAAATCCTTACAACACGGACGTTATGCACACGTTCTGTACCCCCCTCCTGCACTTTCTGCAGGATCAACTGTGACATGAAAGCAGAAGTGAGACAGAGGCTCCACACATCTTCCACAATCTGAGAGCAGGAAGAGCGGGGAGCACTCTTCGTGAGCGTTTCACCTCCCTATGAGTAGGCTCAGCGTCAAGTTTCCCTATACCCAGAAGAACAGCTAAAATAAAATAGTGACAATATCAAATAGTGTCAAGTATGCAAAGAAACTGTATCTCTCAAATGTGCTGGAGGGAATGTAAAATGGTACACTCACTCTGGAAAATATTCAGCAGTTCCTTACAAAATCAAACACATGTTTACCACACAGCCCAGGATTCCTGGGCACTCGATGGAAGAGAAGTAAAAGTGTATGTCCACATAAAAACCTGTCATTCACAGTAGCTTCACTGGTAACAGCCAAACATAGGAAACAACTGGAATTGTTTGGTTGAAGACAACAGGTGGTGGATAAACCAACTGTGGTATAACAACAATGCTCAGCAGTAAAAAAGAGAGGGCTCAGGTTATTAATGTGCACCAGTATTTCAAGAGCATTATGCCAAGTGAAAAAAGTCAGTCTCAATTGTCACATACTGTATGATTCTATTTCTATGACATTCTCAAAACATCCCAATGACAGAAATGATAAACAGATTAGTGGTCACCAAGGGTCAGTGATGATGGGGTGACTTATAACAGGGTAGTAAGAAAGAGATCTTTATGGGGATGAAATAGTTCTGTATCTTAATTGCTGTGTTGGTTACATGGGTCTACACATTTGATAAATGGCACAGGACTAAACACACACATTGCGCCAATGCCAATTCTGTGGTGCCAATACTGCAGTATAATGACATAAGAATGACTGTGTGGCGAGTATGCAGGACCTTTCTGCATATTTTTGCAACTTCTTGTGATTTCTATAATTATCTCAAAACAAAAAGTTAAAAAACTCTACAATGTCCATTTCAAAAGTATTAAGAAACTAAAAAGTGTAAAAATTTGATTTTTAAAAAGTTAATAGCATTTAACTATTTATCTACCCATACTGGTTGCCTATCTGCCTTCAAGATTTCACTTGTCATTTTCTAAAATGTACATGTAATAAGGCACAGAACTTTTTATGTATGTGCAAGACCAGTTCTGAGGTGGGCCCAACGATTCTGCTCAACAAAAGAGGGAGTTTCAAAATGCATTTGTTCTGCTCCTTTCAGAAATATGTAAATGAATTCTATTATTAATATTAATAAGCAATAACTGATTAACTTGTTACATTTATAACTGTCACAGCGTCTTCTCCAAATATACATCATTTCAGAGTACACTGCTGCCGGGTCTATCACAAAGCCAAGAAATAAAGGCAACAAAGAAGCACTGTAAGATGGGCTTCCCACAAGAGGGCAGCAGCTTACCAATTTTTGAAACTGAATTTAATCAGGGAAACCTGTAATCAAAGATTTTTAAAACGTATAAAGCTTAGTCGTCACTCTTACTAACACAAGTTGAAATATTTCCTTTTATCCTTCATGAATACGAAGGTTCCCACTCCCCACCACTCCTTATCTCCAGGCAAAAATCTAAAGAAAACGATCATATGATCATAAAATCGATAGATAGAGTACATCTTCGGATATAGTTGATTTAAATACCTACTATGTGTTTTAGGTACTACTTCTTAAGACAATTAGTTCAGAGCAGGGATTAGCAAACTACGGCTCATGGGACAAATCTAGCCACCTGCGAAGTTTGTGTGTGTACGTGTGTGTGTTCATGTGCATGTTTTAGTTTACTGTGCATAAGTTTAAAGTGGTTTTTATACTTTTAAATGGTCACATGTTAAATAATTATACAGGTACTTGCATAATATTCTTGATTTTACTTCTTGGCCCTCACAACCAAAAAATATTATCTGACCCCAGGAAAAAATAGAAACCCCTTAAAACAATCAGCTATATATTCCTATACCAAATATTCAGATTATATAATAAAAGGTAAAGTATTATTCCTAAAATCAGCTTTTATAAACTGAAATCAAATGAGTGTATGTCCATAATAAAAGCTACATCCTATCTAGCTTTTATTAAATAGGTTCTATGGGTTCTCTATACAAAAGAAAAAGGTACAATTTTTGGTGTGTTGACACCTTATATTTATACCCAGAATTTTGTGTTTCTAACTAATGAAATGTATTTTAATCTCCATAATATATATCTTGACTGCATGTGCTTATCCTTAAAACCACAACCACGACCCTAATTGTAACTATTGTCTTTTGTCCGTATTAGGGTTTCTAGAACTCAGTCGATGATTTTATGGGCCTGACAATTCATGTAGAGGGGCTCTCCTGGCCCCTCCCCCCCCAAGTACACTGCCACAGCTGTGACAACCCCAGATGTGTCCAGATTCTGACAAAAGTTCCCTGGGGAGCAAAATCACCCCTACTGAGAAACACTAACAGTTTCTGAAGTGAGTTGCATGTACTCAGAACACGTAGGAAAATATTAAAATACCTACTTATGCATTTTTAGTATCTACTTACATATTTTAGTGAGTAACATGTAAAGTCTGTTGCTGACAGTGGGGGCGGGGAGAGCAGGGTCAAAGAGCAGTAGCAGCCAGCCCTTGGCCAGGCCTTCGAATCGCTTCCCTACCCCACTTCTCTAACCGTTTTACACAGCAGTCAGAGGACTGTTTTTCTATAAAAGTGAAATCATGTCACGCCAGAGTTTGAAAACCATCCACAGCTTCTCATTTCACTCAGAAACATACCCCAAGTCCAAGTCCTTACCGGCAAGGCCTACAAGTTCCTACTGGCCTGGTTCTTTATTTTTTCTTTCAATTGCCTGTTTGTACTGGTTAAAGAGAGCAATTTTTAACCTTTTTCATCCCATGGCACACACAAATTGCTGAAACTCTGTGGCACACAAAAACATATTTTTTGTCAATGTGACAAAAAATAGGTATAATTTTGATTGATTTACAAAAAATAATAGTAGTGATTAATTACCTACCCTTTTTGATCCAAAGTGACTTTAATTAAAATCGGATGTCTATACTTGTATATGAGGATTTCTGATACCAAAAACTAACCAATCAGATGCAACCTTATTGTGCAACCTGCCCAATAAGATGCAACTCTATTATATGACATATATTTCAGGTTCAAGATCAGGCATTCACACTGGACAGCTATTGTTGTGTTGGCTGTTATCTTTTTCAAAAAATTTTAAGTTTTCACTCAATGACATATTTATTTTAGAGAGAGAGGGAGGGAGCAAGGTAAAGAGAGGGAGGGAGGCCCGGGAGAGAGAGAAAGAGAGAAACATCAAAGTGAAAGAGAAAGATCAATCAGTTGTATCCCATATGGATCCAACCAGGGATGAAACACACAACCTTTCGGTGTATGGGAAAATGCTCCAACCAACTGAGCCACCCAGCCAGAGCTGTTGTCAGTTTTTTATTTGACAGTTTAAGGGAAAAGAGGTCAGTGCTCCTGACTTCAATAGTCAAGTATTGAATTTTTAAAAAATTCCTGCAGTACACTGGCTGCAAATTGCTGGTGTAAGGTGTATGCTCAGTGGTTAGACAATCGTATGCAAGTAAATACTTTACACAGTGTTCCCTTGATATTTTCAGTACCCACCCGGCACTATACAGTTATTATGATATTACTGACTGTATTTCCTGTATTTTACTTATATCCTCCTGACTATTTTGTAACTACTAGTTTGTACTTCTTAATCCCTTCACTTCTGGCCTGATTCTCACTCACTCCTTTCTAGCTCTTACCCATCTTAGTACCTTTGAGCATGTCTTCCTTCTGTCCAGAATGTTCTTCCCCTACTTTTCACTTGGCTGTCTTCCTCCTTACCCTTCAGTTCTCAGGCTAACCATCATGCTGTTAGAGAAATTATTCTTCAACTCAATCTAAAGTAGGACGCCTCAACCTCATCTGAGTCCCGCATCCACTCACCCTGCAACTGCACAGCTTGTGATGTGTCTCTGGCTTAGATATCACCACCCCTACCAGCTGTGAGTCCCATGACAGCAGGGATGATGCTCAATAATCACGTGATGAGTAAGTGAATAAATTATGCTAAGAAAACTCACACTCTTTCTTTAATCTTTTTGTTGGAAAAACTTTCAGTACAGAAACGGAAGGTACTGGAAGAAGTACAGGTCCCTGAAGTTTATCCATTGGGGATGTCTGGCTATTCTTTTACCAGGGACTCGATTTCATGACCAAGGCCTTGCTATAGAATCCCATCAATTATTTGAACGGTGGGACAATTCCCACAATAAGGAAGAATAGGTGACCTGCCTCGATTTTACAGTAAGAGAAACTACAACACAAATTCTACATGACATTCCCACAAACTAGAATACCCTGGCTCTGAGCCCAGTATTTATTTTACCAGACTCCACTGCCTACATACCTTTCTTTTTCTTTTTGGCCTATATAATCTGTATGTAGAAAACCTGGTAGTAAAGAGTTTGATCTCTCTTCTTTGCATTTAAACTTACATACTTCTGGTGGGCAGGGGAAATCTGCAAAGACAATCCCATGTGCCAGGAATGCTAGGAAAATTTTCTTCCACTTTTTTAGAATCAAACTTGCAGCCTCTCTAGCCAAACAAAGTAAGATAAGAAAATGGGAACATTTTAAGTTAATAGGAAGAGTATGATTTAAGGTAAGATCTACAAAATAAAATCCAAGTGCTTTTTTACATAATTCAGTGACACAGAATTATTATAATGAGAAATCAGAAGACAAGGAATTAACAATGGATTATTATTAGCATAAGGGAAAAAAAGCAAATGAGTTGGGACTTTAAAGATCAACTAGTTCAAGCCTTTAATTTTATAAGAAAAGTATTATTATTACAAGAGGCTATGGAACCTACCTGTAGCTAACTGGAAAAGGGGCTGAGGTAAATATTTAAAAGTTTCTCTATTAAAAAGAAAAGACAAATGAAATTCTCAGAGAAACAGCCTAGTTTCCTCCCCTCTATCTGTAAAATTACCTCACTCTTTAGTTTCATTATTAATGGCATATTTATTATTTTACATGAGGCCTAAATAAGCTCATATATCTAATTTTCTAGGCAAGAACAGATTAAGAGGAAACCAGCTAAAAGAAGGTTTTGTGATTTCAGAAGCAGAAACGTGAACAAGTGACAATTGACACTGAGGTAGGAGACTGAAAAAATCTAAAAACTATACTTTGCAGAACATCTCGATACAGGGAGCCACTCAGCTTAGCGCCGCCGCCCTGTGCCACGCTGGGCTTGAGGCGATTACTGGGTCATTTCACACTTCAACGAGCAGCACTCAAACATTTAGAATGAAAGGTGCTGGTCTGTAAGATAAAGTGCTCATTATCAAGGGCACAGCTGTCACACAGGACAGCAATTTTCAACCAGAGTGTAAGAATTTTTAAACTATGCACTACCTGACTGACTATTTAGTCAGGAACCTCTTTCCCCTGAGCCTGTCAAATGGAAACATGCCAACAGCCAACACAGTAGAGATCTGGTGTGAGCAAATCAACGTTATACCTATTTTTCTGTCAGACAGGCAAAAAATATATTTGTTGGTGTGCCACAGAATGTTAGTCATTAGGTTACGTGTGCCTTGAGGTCAAAAGGGTTGAAAATCGCTGAAACAGGACTTTGCAGGGACGGACACACTCCCCCTCGGCACTGCTCCAGCCGCAGGCTCAGGCCACACGTGGCTGCTGGCACCTGAAGCGTGGCCAGTGCGACCAAAGAACTGAGTTTAAATTTTAATTAATGTACACGAATTATCCTTGTCCTGTGATTTAATACTCAAAGCATGGGTCTATGGCTACCATATGGGTCAGCGCAGAGCTAGAGACTTCTCTCAGAAAACCCCTCATCTCTCCATGAAACTGGATGACCACTGCTCTATGTCACTCTTCAATATGAAATTCAAGCACTTTTCCCACTCCTTAAAGGCAAGGGAAAAATTGTATCAAGAAAATGAAATCACTTTCCTTTAGTAAAAGCATGCCCAATGCATATTCAAAAGATCCACTACATTCTGGTTCAATTTGCTGTAACTTTATAGCCCATCTTATACTTCCAAATGCATAAATACTCACACATTGTCCTCGAGGCAGATTTTGGGTCCCACTACATTGGCTGCTCCACTTGCCATTTTAAAAGCAAAATGCTTCTCAGGACAAGCTTTTGAGATCCCACACTTGTATCTGGGAGGTTTTGTAGCTTTGGGAAAAAAAAAGTAGATTTTTTAAAAAGAAAAGAATGTTAACAGACTCTATAATCAGTTTATTTCAAATTTCAAACCACAAGGGAATTATGTAAATCACCAAGATCTACATATCATAAAACACACCCTAGGATTCCCCCCTCCCCCACTGCCCCTGGGGGGTTTCAAAGAGCCTCAAAACAAAACAAAAAGTACCGAGGGACCAAGCTAATAACTGACATTAATGAACCAAATAATATGATCTTGATGAGGGTAAATATATTTTACCTAATTATTTCTGTTTAGTTACTGAATTCAGGATGGGTGGTAGGTTTTGAATTGTTACTCTGCATTTTCAGAGCATAAATGCAGAACAAATGGCTGCAAACTAAAAAGCCTAATGCATCACTGAATGCTCACATACTAGTTCTTTTTACACACTTTCTGTACTAATCATACTGAAGCTAAAAACACTAATGAAACAAAACATTCATTATGAGTAAACACAAAGAATATTGGGCTATCCGATCAAACAGCATCCTTGTAACTTCAGAAAGCAATGTCTACATCAGTTGTGCTCACACTGAACTATCTTTAGTGTTTGAAGGTGAGTTCTCATGTGCCTAAGGGGGGAAAGCAAAATACACTACCTGCAAACTTTTGGGATGAAATACTTACAACGTGCAGCTGTGTCCAATGCAGACCTTGCTAAGGAAAAAAAAAGTTATCTTTGTTAGAAGGAATAAGGCCACTGGCAAGTATCCACTTTTAAAACATATTTAGAGCTAACAGACCTATAAAAATAAAAGTGTTTGAATATTGCTCAGTATATAATGAATAAAACATGAATATCACTTTAGAAAAACAGTGAGAAAGTAACATTAGGCTACATAATTCAGTGTAATCAATTAAGTAAAGAAACTATGGCTGGTAGTATTTTATTACAGATAGAACATTTTATGTTTACATTTTGATTTTATTTTTAGTTACTATACACTTAATTCCCAGTCAGAAAGCTATTCTATGAACTTACCACTATTTTAATTTTTTAATATTTATTTATTTTTTTGAGAAAGGTGAAGGAAGAGGGAAAGAAGGAGAAAAACATCATGTGAGAGAGAAACATTAATCAGTTGCCTCTCGCACACACCCCGACTGGGGACTGAACCCACAATCCAGGCTTGTGCCATGAGGGGGAACTGAACCAACCACCTTTCACTTTGCAGGATGATGCTCAACCAACTGAGCCACACAGGTCATGGCAACTTACCATTAGTTTTTTAATTTATGTTTTCACCTTTATTGAGATATAACAGACACTTAACACTGTACAAGTTTAAGGAGTACAACGTGCTGATTTGCTACATTTATAAACTGCAAAATGATTATCACAACAGTATCAGCTACTACTTCCATCACATCACATAATTACCATTTCTTTTTGTGGGAAGACTATTTTAAGATCTACTCTCTTAGCAATATTTATGTATCACAGTATGATAAAGTATTAATAGCTGCAAACACCTGGCTGTATGAGATTCCCCAACCTGTTAACCTTGTAACTGGAAGTTGTGCCCTTTGAGCCATGGCCCCCACTCCCCCAACCCCCACCCCTGGTCACCACCACTCTACTGTTTCTCTGAGTTTGTTCTTCTCAGACTCCACATCTAAGTGGTATCATATGTACTTCAAACTTCCTTTTAAATAGCTTTAAAGATATAGTTGGTGACTATTAATTAGGGTGTTTAAAAGTTGTTGCTGCTTTATGGTGTTATTATGTACATACGCACATAAAGCCCTGCAGTACATACATAAACCTACCTCAGTGCTTAGGCTAGGAGATTTGGAGAGTGGGAAGAACACAAGAGGGATGGTGGTTGCGGAGAGTTTGTCTCAAAAACAGAAATGTATTGTGTATAATAAAAAAAATAAAGGGCATTACTAAGAGTTTTATAATTTATCAGTTCAAGGAAGCCAAAATCTTTTGATCAAATCTTAATTTGAATTCCCCAGACTTTAATCTGATCATCTACACTTAGAGATTTTTAAAAGCACTACCATCTGACCCTCACCCAAGGATTACAGTTCAGAACATCAGCAGCATTGTGAACAGCGATTTCCTGAGGCGGCTAAAACGTACGCAGTGTCATAAATGTTTGCCAGCTGTTTGACTATAAATAGTTACTTAGTTTTTACTTCTGTACTATTTTGGATGATTGTGAATTTCCTGTATCTAAGTCCAGTACTCAAACTAGAGAACAGAAAATTAAAGCTTAAAACTATAATGTTTTAAAAGAGAAAAATAACCAAGTAATTAAAGACTCATTAACTCTATAGAACACTCAGAATATTTTGCAGGACTGAAGTTGTAAAGGCACTGCAGTAACATAGGAAATGTTAATGCATTTGGAATAAAGCAGAAAGCAAACTTCATCTGCATTAAAAATATTCATGGATACAAAGACCTGAAGGAAACAAAAAAATGACCGGTTAGTAAATTAGGGTACTGGGGCTTGTTCTTTCAATTTTGTTAATGATGTCACTTTTCCTTAATTATGTAACAAGTGTGAGGGAAGAATAACTAAAGAGATCACCTGGTCTAGTGTACTCACTTTTGAAAATGAGAAAACCCATGGGGCTATTAGCAACCAGTGACTAACAACATGAGAACTAGAAATTGTCCATTTTACTTTGTCCCGAACAAACATGTTTATCATGAGCCTCCAGTTTTAAGCTGCTTACAGGGGAACGTTGTTCAAATCAGGAATTCTGGTCTTCCTAACTCGAGGTAGCAAGATCAGAGGAAACAGGCTTTGAGGCAGAAGCTTGCCATTATTTCCAAAGACCTTTGTGATACCTGTCAGCACTGTGAACAGATTTTTGTTCTTGTGTTTTCAGTTCTTGAAGCTACGTAGTAGTTATAATGACCGACTCTGACTTTTCCTTTCCCCTTACTTTTGTTACCCGGGTATTTTAGGCAGAAGCTTGCCATTAAATTAAAGATTTTTTTCTTTTCCACTGAACTCCATTTTTGGAGATTTGTCTGGTAGGTGGTGAGTCATGGGACGCCCCCTACTGTTTGGGTTCAGTAACACTTCTGCATATATTATTGGTTTGAGCATCATCCCTGTTTTAAAGAGAAAAAAATGGGAACAGAGAGGTTTACAGATTTGATTTGTTCTAAATCATAATTAGTAACTATCAGACCTAGTTTCCAAAGCCGTATGTCATTCTAGCACCCAAACTCATGTTGCACCACCCCAGAAATGAGAATGTCTGAGGCCTTATGATTACATGTACAAAAACTGCTAGTAATGCCAGGAGCAGAAAGCCAAGACATGGAGTTTTCATAACAAGCTTTCTGACTTTCAAGTGTAGGACCGACTGTACAAGGTTTAAGACATCCATGTAGACAAGGAGTCTACATGGATGCTGCTGAAGTAGTCCAGGTAGAAAAGGGTAGCAGTCCAAACAAAGGCCATGAAGGTGGGCTTGAAAGAAGTAGACAGGTCCAGAACAACTAAGGAAGCAACACTGATGGAACTTGAAAGTAGACCAGATAGAGGGATGATGGAAAGAGAAGAATCAAGTTTGTCCCTCAGATGTTTAGCTTTAGAAGCATTCATTTATTCATTCACATGAACCAAAAATAAATACATACAAACATACATACATATACTACCATCTCTGAATTCAAGATGTTTATAATCTAGTGAGGAGATGGGAGTGGTGGATGGACAGCGAGTTCTGTGTTGGACTTGATAATTTTAAACACTTGGAGAAGATCCAAGTGGCAAAGTTTAGAGACCTAGGATACCAATATAACTAGAAAATTAGCCAATGATTGAGTGGTGCCACCCAAAGAGAGGGAATAAAGTTAAAAGAGGGCTGAGGAGAGACTCTTAGAGACACCAATAATCACCTAGTGCTCAGAAGAGACTGGCTGAAGAAAGAGAGGTAGAAGGAAAATCAGGAATGAGCCTCGAAAATGGTCAAATTAGTTTGCTTGTAAAATTTAAATGTAAAAACAGTAAATGCTACTCAGTTCAAAAAAATTTATTGGGATACATACAACTTTGGAAAAAGCAGTTTCTTAATGATCTGGCTTTTAAGGAAATAACACTACCTCCCCTTAATTTGTGTATAAGTAAGGGGAGATGCTTAAAGATAAAGAACCATGTGAAAGACTTTTCTTTCCAGATGAAAACTATTTTTTATCCAATACTCATCAACACTGAAAGCCCTCTACTAGCCCTGCAATTCTGAGAATTTTAACACCTGGAAGCCAACAGGGTTAATTTTCATAAATAAAACCGGATTATTTTCCACATGCAGCACATGAGCATAGGACACAAACACAAATCCTACCTTTTCTGCAACTTTTATTCCTCAAACTATCTTGATAGCTTTAATTCTTAATTTCTTTCAACACATACAACTTTTCACTTCAAGGAACAATAACAATAAATATTTCTGATTTGGTTTCATCAATGAATGTCTTTCAACAAGTCAGGCTAAAGAAATCAGACAATTATTTTATACTTCAGTTTTTAGTAATGTGGAGTAATTTATGTATGTACTATTTCAATGGTAAGTCTGAAAGGGTAAAAATAAATCAATTCAACATAACATTAAGTACCTACTGCAGTAATATGCAAAAAATAACTTGGACTGTGTTCATTACATTCAACAGATGTTAAGTATCCATGCTGAACACTAACACTACATTAAATTGCAATCATAACTAAGACTTGCAGACGGCACCCATGCTGACAGCCTGGTTGTGACACTGTATGTAGTTTTATAAGATGTTACTCAATGAAAAACTGAGTAAAGAGTATATACAATCTCTGTGTGTTATTTCTTACAAATGCTTGTGAATCTACAGGTAAAAAATTTTATTAAAAACTGTTTTTAAAAAATCACAATCTACTTTGATAATTTCAACTATTAATTGTATGCAAAATTCTTCATTCTTCCTTTCTAGAAATAAGTTCATTTCATTTTTCTAAAGCAGTACTATAAAATATACCTGAATCTAAATTAATGAAACTATTAAGATATTATATCAACATGAAAAAATGGAAATATTCACCACCAAAAGAACTATAGTTATTAGATTTATCAGGGTGAGTAAGTTATATATGTCTAATCACTTATATGTATATATGTTGTATACCTGAAACTAATGAAATATTTCATGTTGATTGTAATTTAAAAATATTTAATTTTTTTTAAAAAAGACACACAGTTAATCTCATAGTCCCCTGAGATGCTGACTTTAGAAACAATCCTAACATCCAGTTAAACTTGTTACCCTTTGGTAAACTGTCAGATGCTAAACAAATGGCAAAACAACTGTATCTCTATCTGTGCTCCATTATTCTGAAATGAGAAGTAAAATATAACCATACAAATTAAATTTTCACCAGTTCAATAGACTGGAATCCAAGACGGGTTTATGGATATGGTGTATGACTTAAGTTACAACAACATCAACCACTTGCCCTAAGGATGCCTCAATCAAACAGCTCAAACACATACTATGAGACCCTGCAGGTTCCAACACCGGGAAAACTCAAAATGAAAATGAAGAGAAACAACTCTCCTAGTTCAAGGGGCTCAGCATTTGCTCATAGCTGATGACCAGCAGCTTTTCAACTAACACAGCTTTAAATGAATCCCACTTTGGAAATACTTTTTCCATCTAAAAATCCTAATTCTCAATTACCTACATTCATTTCCCATTCAATCAGCATTTATTATTTACGGGCCCAGCACTAGATGCTGGGTGAAGCATCAAGGTATTATTGCCCTCAAGATTTATTACCTGGTAAGGGAAGACAAATACATAAAAAAGATAAAAGAAAAGAAACTATAATATGAAGCAGAATAAAACCAGTGTCCAATTGAGATATAACTACTATGCATTAGGACAAACAGTTCAGAAACAGGAGCAATACATTCTAATAGGGAAAAGAGAGGTTCAAATGCAACTTCTGTCAAGAGGACAACATTGATGGGGTTTTAAAAATGGACAAGATTAACAGATGAAGGAAGACGAGAAGGAAGTGCAGGGTGAGGCATCTGCAGGGCAAGGGCAGTGGCTGGGGAATGAAAGGGCAGGATTTGTGTCCCTAGATCACGTGCAGGTTGGCAAAGTGAGTATGAAACACGGATGGGGAGGGACAGAGAACAGGCGAGAGAAGCAGAGGAAGGTTGTGGGGTCTGAATGCCATGCTGAGCAGGGAGTGTAGATTTTATCCTTTGGTAATCGTCAGTACTAAAGGTTCATGAGTTTTAGTGACTCTGGCACTGGTGAGATAGGCAGATATCAAAGAGAAAGAACCCCTTTGATGGTGACAGAAAGGGTCACCATCGACAGGCTCGACAGGAAGATCCAAACTAGGGTAAACACTGGCTTCATCCAGACTCTTCTCTCAGAAAACACTGGGCCTTTTCCCCAAAGTTCTGTTTGTACCAATGGTCCTGTTGCCTCCCTTCTCTCAAGGATCCTGCTTTTTGTCAATCTCCACCAATTTGTAATTCGCTGAATCTTTGTCCAAGGCCTCTAGACAAATGAAAGTCTCTCCATGACTTCAAAAAAGAAAAAAATGTTCAACTTGCTCCTGCCTCAAACTACCATCCCATAATCTTCCTCCTTAACCATCAGCCTTTCTTAGAAGAATTAGTTATACACACTCTTTCCTCAGCAACACTGAACAAGTCCTCAGTGCCTTCAGTGTCTTTCCGCCCCATCATGCAACTGAAACCAGCTCACTCTCCAAGGCCCCAGACTGGGCCTCTGTAGTAACAGAAATACCGTATACAAGAAGAAGTCAGTCAAGGCTCACTACACTTTGCAATAACTACTCTATGCTGAATCTATGTTGAATACTTCATTTTAGGACCTGCACTGAAAAACAGACGGTTCAGAAGAATAATCACTACATTAACAGAAGTGATTGAAAGGGAAGCTTCCTTAATTTGATAAGATAAAAACTTAAGATAAAAAGATGACCTGAAGGAGTATGACTACAATTTTACTACTTGTGACACCATTAATCTGGAAGAGAACTCCAGCAGGTAGAAGCAAGTGAATTGCTATTATTTACCTGGGAGTATAAAAGGCAGAATTTAGTGTAACACAAGGAAGTACATTTAAGTAGTCACTGTAAGAAAGTCACCTAAAAATGTTTATACAGAAATTGATGACTACACATCTGAATTGTCTAAAGCCTTGACACTCAGAATGTGAACCATGGACAGGAACCTCAGGTCTACCTGGGAGTGTGTTAGAAATTCAAACTCCCAGGCCCCACCCCAGAAAATCATTCAAAACCTGCTTTTGCCAAGATTCCCTGGCAATTCCTTTGACAGCAAAGCTTGAGAAGCACTGGTTTAAGGGAGACTTCTTGTAGTTGCTGTTATTTTACATTAACTTCAAAATATGTTTATTACTAAATATTTATTTTTTTCATGGTAGCCTCGATGACTCTTTTTGGTGTTTTATCAAATATTGTTGTTTTTAGCCCTGGCTGGCGTAGCTCAGTGGATTGAGCGCGGGCTGCGAACCAAAGTGTCGCAGGTTCGATTCCCAGCCAGGGTACATTCCTGGGTTGCAGGCCATAACCCCCAGCAACCACACATTGATGTTTCTCTCTCTCTCTCTCTATCTCCCCCTTTCTCTCTCTAAAAATAAAAAAATAAAATCTTTAAAAAAAATATTGTGGTTTTCCTTTTCTTGTCTTTTTCAAAACTAAGTTTTAGATATATTGGAAGAAGAACCTTGAAAAGACTTTTATAAAAGTTTGCTGCAATTAAACTGACTTGTAATTTCATGCATATTTTTTAGAGATTATAGAATGGTGTAGACAAATAATATACGTTTTGGGGGTTATTTTTTTCAGTTTTCTATCATTGTATTTCTTTGTTTGCCCAAAGCATCTTGTGCAAACATTAAAGCAGATAAAGAAATATAACAAGTAATTTAACAATCATCTATAATCTCACTCCCACATTTGCTTCTAGATGGGGTTTTTTTTTGCTTTTTTTTTAAGAAATAAAACATAAAGCTCAAGTCCCCTTACCTACTACCCAAGTCCCACAGATAACTAAGGAATTTGGTGCTTAGCCTTCCTGTTAGTGTTTTTTAAATTTAAATATTTTATTGTTTATGCTATTACAGTTCTCCCAATTTTCCCTCCTTACATCTGAAGCCAAGTGTAAGGGGAAGTGAATTAGGTCTTGTGGTTTCCTTCCAAATACTAATTTATGAAAAACAAAATTCATTATTCCAGAGATCTGAAAGCTGTTTCATCCACTTTCTGCCTACTAGGTCAAAATACTGTTAATTGGTTTCATAGCCTCACCTTTCAAGCAATTTTTTAATACCTTAGGCAACTGCCAGAAATAATGTAAACATTTTAAATGTCAATTTAGTTTTATTAATGTAAATATTTTGTTAAAAACTGAGTTAAGGTAGCTTAGAGTGGAGTGTTTACAATATAGCATTAAATAAATTGGTCAAAAGAAAAATGCTGCAGAAGGAAAATAAAGGTAAAAAAGCAAAATAGATTTCCGTGGCTGGTATTTAAAATGCATTATCGTGACTCCTAACCACTTTTTAACTGAGGGTTAGTTTCAGTTCCAAGTGTTCTAGCAGCCAACTCAAGCAGTGTGTGGTATCTTCTGGAATGCACATTTAGAATGTAATGAATAATGACCCTAAGCATATATGAAATAGATTCCATTAAATGTATTCAGAATGTTAAGTGGAAGATTAATGCTTTATACTGAATTAATTTTAAGACTTTCTATTGTGCATTTTATAATATTCTAATGAATCATGCCTGCTGGTATAATTATATTTTCTTTTCTAAACAGACTAAAGGGCAGTGACTCAATGTTGATAAGTAGTAAAGAAACAATTACATCAAAAACAAGATTTAAGAAAGTGAAAAAAATGGAACTTACCAAATAGACTTCCTAAACTTGCATCCATTTTTATTTCAAATACTTGAGAAATAATGTAAAATGTCAGTAAAAATACTGCCACAGCTACCACCAACTTCGCAGCACCTAGGTAAAGGGCAGAAATGAGCTTATGAGCCCACAGGACTTTTATTATATAACATTTCAATGAAGAGTATAAGTTTACAGAAAAGGTTTTAAGACTAACCAATTTTCACTTTTTGTCTATTGAACTTAATTTCGCTTGAGTTACAACAAAAATTGTACCAAATATCCATCAAGATAAAGGATTTTCCTGATCAAGGAATTATCAGATTGGCTAGCAATCCGGGCAAAGCACTGCTTGAGTCACCTGCCTGCTTTTACACAGGAAGCCTGACCTGCCAGCAATGCTGGCTGACGTCACAAAGGGTCGTGGCTGATGGAAGAATGCCCCCAGGTATGTTGGCGAACCCATCCCTAATTCTTCCAACTATGAAGGGCAACAGTACTATCCAGGATGACACCAAAACACTGAACCTTCTGCAGACACTAACACAACAGAGCAGACTGTCCCCTAACGGGGAGTTCTCAAGTGAAATGTCCTATCACCAACTGACCTTTCTCTTGAGGTGCATGTATGCTCCTGGTATACTGAACAAAGAAGTATTCCTCCTCACATTTGATACCTAGTTCAATACAGGCCTTTCCCACTCCTACACAACTTCATCCAGCTCCTACCACAGGTAGTTGACAATGTGGTTACAGGGTAAGCTCCATGAAGGCAGACTCTTGGTCTTCCACACTTTTATATCTCTAACCATTTCTGAGTGCCTTACAAATAGTTAGCATTCCTATTAACTAATTAAGTGCTTAATATTAATCATCATGTGTCCTTTTTCTCCAAAACTATGTAAATCTAGGAAAGTAAAAGTAAAAGACAGGATAGGAAATGGAAAGTGACAGAAAGGAAACATCTTCCTCTGACCCTACAGATTTCATAGCCATCTTGTTAGGTTATTCAGGAACAATATGAGTATTTCCCTGTCCAATCTCCATCCCCCTCTCTTACCTAAAGTTTAATTTATACTGCTACAAAAGAGGTAACCCTGGTCAGCATGGTTCGGTTGGTTGACATGTTATGCAGTAAACTGAAGGGTTTCAGGTTCGATTCCCAGTCAGAGTACATGCCCAAGTTGAGAGTTTGATCCCTGGCTGGGGTGCATAGGAGAGGCAACTGATTGATGTTGCTCTCCCTCACTTCCCCTCTCTCTAAAATCATTAAGCGTGTCCTTGGATAAAGATTAAAGAAAAAAAAAGAGGTAGAAAATATCATCAGTTATCTCATTCTCCTTAAGGAAACCAAGGTCCAGAGGTGAGGCAGCTGCCTCAGATTACAGATCCCGTAGTGGCAGCACAGGGACCAGGATCCGGAGATCCTGCCACAGCCCAGCACTCTGCATAACACTGTTTGAACCCCGAATTACTACATTCTCCCCAAAACTACTGAAACTCAACTTACTGGGTAAGGAGGAGTAAAAAAGCACTATATTCGTCTAATTCCATGAACCTAAAGAGATGAGGACTACGTCCTCAAGAGGAGGGAAGAGAATGAACGGAGGATGCTCCAAAAGGCCGAGGATGCTGAGAGGCAGCAGTTTCAGAGCTGCTTATTTCTGCTGAGAAACATTCTAAATATAGAAATGAGGTGGCAATAAGAAAACCTAACTACTCAACTTATCAACCTCAACCCACTTCCGTTTCCTATCTTCTCCCCTCCCAAAACTGAGCTTCCTCGTTTCAAGAGCAACTACAAGTTGCCTATACCTGTAGTACATGAGACAGTGAAGTTCCACGAGGCTTTGAAATCTTCTCCCCACTGGATCTAGCAGGGTACCTGGCACATAGTGCTACTCTCAACAAGCCTTTCCTACACAGAGGAATGGTAATAGGTGGCATATTCCTTCTTGATCATTTAAGACACCTTGGTATGAAGAATACATATTTTCATGATAGGTTAATATCTCATTTTCTAGCAAGCATGGGCCAGTGCAACTAGAGATTACCTTTCCCTGCCCTCTAAAGCAGAGAGATGAAACCCTTGCTGTTCAAGATTGAAATATTAAAATATCAAGTTTATAAAATATAGAAGTTCTAGGCTAGATTCAATACCAAGCTGCACCTGAACATATACTAAACAAACTATATACACCATATGTACATAAGAAGGTCTGTATGGAAAGATTCCAGCCATTGTTAGTATAAAAATGGTTTGTGTGTGATCGATGTAACCTGGCAGCCAAGGAGTGGACTGGAATGTGCATGTGTGAACAATGATGACTTCACTGTACTAGTCAGTGGGGGCGGCAGATGCCATTGACTGAGCATGTGTTCTTTGTAACCACTGCATTCAAAATGACTGAGTGAGGAGAGCAACAAATCTGCATCAAATTTTGCATTAAGCTTGAACATTCCTCACGGAAACTATTCAGATGATTCAGAAGGCCAGAGGTATGGGCAACTGGTGATTGGCAGCTTCATCACAACAATGTGCCTGCTCACGCATCGCATCTTGTGCAGAGTGTTTTGGTGAAATATCAAATCACCCAGGTGACTCAGCCCACCTACAGCCCAGATTTGATGCCCTGTGACTTCTGGTTTTTCCCAAAACTAAAATCATCCTTGAAAGGGAAGAGATTTCAGACTATCAATGAGATTCAAGAAAATATGACGGGACAGCTGATGACATTTGGGAGAATTCCGTGAGGTCCTAAGGTGCCACTTTGAAGGGGACTGAGGCATCATTGTCCTATGTAAAATGTTTCTTGTACCTCGTATCTTCTTCAATAAATGTCTCTATTTTTCATATTACATGGCTGGATACCTTCTGGACAGACATATACATACCACACACACGTACACACATACACTATTTTTTTAGTGACTACTGCAGAGCTACATGTTTTATAAGCATAATTTCTCTTCATAACTTTTCAAGATAGTTATTTTCACTTTACAAATAAGAGAAACAAGACTAAGAATTTAGACCACTTTCCAAAGTTCACACAACTCGTCAGTAGTAGAACTGAGTCTTAAACCAAGGCACAGTCACTTGTATTGGACCATCAGAGGGACTAGGAGGACACACACACTCCAAGGAAAAGTTAGAAGTGGAGAAACCACCTGGTAACAGAGCAAGCAGATGTTCCCTAAGAGAAGTAGGCAGGTGAAGGCTAGCAGAGCCTCCGTAACATCAGAGTTCTCGAATGTCCGTTACAGAGGGTCTCTTCCAGAGCTGATTACCATCCAATTCTGAACTTGAAGGGGCCTACAAATGCCACACCATGGTTCTCATTCATAGCTTTCCAAGAGGCTCCCTATTCCTTCTAGCCATGAACTGCACTAATCTGGGTACATCCTATTTTTCAACAACTAAAAAGCATAAACTTTAGACAGCAATCCCTCCCTATATAAATGACCATAAACACATTTCAAAGCAACAAGGATTTTTTTAAATTAGAAAGGATTAATTAGTTTGAAAGAAATAAACTAATAGCATGTTGGGAACCGCCCTGACTGGTATCAGAGGCTGAAACCCCCACCTAAGCTAAGGCTAAGGGAACGCCCTTGGAACCGTAAGCCGGCAAGGAGATAAAAGCTTATCTTCCTGGCAGGAATGCTGCTTCTGCTGCTTTATTCATAACTGAACCCCAAAAAGCTTGGTCGGTTAGCCAAAGACGGGTAAGATTCCCCACGGGGGGAATGACCTAAGCCAGGCACGATCACTTTGGGAGGCCCCCCAAAAGAAGGACTTGGGGGGGGGGCTGCAGAAAAAAGGGGGGTGATGGACCCTCGCTCCTTGGCTTTGACATAGCCTGAGTTCTCAGCGTCTGGAAGAAAATCTCCTTATCTCTTGGTTGCCTTAGTTCCCTTGCTCCACCTAAGCCTGAAACAATGACAGGGTAGTGCAGCTCGGTACTGAGAAGTGCGGCTTTCCCGGAGTGATCAGGCCTAAGAAAGAACATGTAAATTACTGTGAAACCTTCTTTGTTTAGAATGCTCTCAGTTGAATGAGAAGGGTCTTAGGAGGAAGTTAGTTTGTTCCTCAGTCTTACAGCTCTTTGACCCCAACTCAATAGACTGGCAGAGTTCTTTGTTTTCTATAGTTCCTTACTTCCCCTAATGAGTACTGTACTTTACCTGAATTATTATGCAAAATGAGCCTAATAAAAGCAGGTATGGACGGTAAATCAGCGTGCTCCCCACTAGGGGGGGTGGCCATTCTGTCCCTACTTCCCCACAGAAACTAGTCTGTCTCTGTGCATGTGTCGTTATTTCTCGCGTGTTTATCGTCGAGCCATCCACAGCGTTCCGTGGTCACTGCTGGCTGGTGACCCACGCGCAACAATAGCAAATCTTCCTTATTCACTCACTGAAAGCAATCCCTTGAAGAACTATACTAGGAACAGTGCCAAAATTAAAATAAGTACTCAGTGAATAGTTACTTATCAATTAACCTTGGTATTAACTGCAAGAATCAGGGAAATGGACTAGCTGACAAAGTTAATTTCAACTAGAATGAATGTACAATTATGTGAGAAAGGGAAACTTGCTTTGATTATTTCAAATAACTATTTTTAATTAAATAGGTACTTTTAAAATCATCTGGAAATATGTAATCATAGTCCAGCTATATCCAAAGATAATATTTTTGTTAAAAAACATAAGACATTAAACATGTTGTTGTTTTTTTTTAAGCCACAAACAAGCTCTTGGTTTCTGAAAATATTCTAGTTTAGTATTGTATAGTTACTCAAAAAATAATGTTTTTGTAAGTCTATGACCAAGTCAAATTTCCACAAAAGCATTAGTAAACACCCCCCAGTTATCTTTGTTTAACAATCGTGATTTTTAATCACCTGTAGAAAGACTTATTTGCCCTCCCACTTTGATTTTAGGTTCTTCTAAGAGACACCCCCATAGGAAAATCATTTGTTTGCTGGTGAGAGGATGATAAAAGAAAGACTAATTGATTTTGAGGATTTACAGGTTATCTTCTATGTTGGATACAAACTTAGCAGAAATTTCTACGTAAAGTGTATACTGCCTTTAGGACTACACTTATTTTCACTCGGAAGAGGCAGGTCATCAGCTCCTCTAATTATTATGGATCTATTCTTTTTACATTTAAGGATCACTACATTAATGCTAGGGACATCAAGCAGTGTTTTTAAATTTCCTCAGTATGCCGCCTAAGGAACAGATGTCTCTATGCATAATCTCACTTAGGAAGATTGAACTTGAATTAGTAAATACAGGATGGGGCAGAAGTGGGTTTACAGTTGTACATATGAAAATAATACAATAATTAATAATAATACAAAAATAAACTGTTTTGTGTCCTCGCCACTGAAAACCTACTTCTGCCCCACTCTGTACACAGTCATTTAAGCAAAAACACATTATTGAATCCTTTGCATACACTAGTTTTAATTTATATATATACAAAGGGAAAATTTAAGCTTTTAAATTTTACAGCTCCTTTTCCTTAACAAGCTAGAACTTATCAAAAACAAAAATCAGTACCCCAAGGTTGTCAAATTGTTCTTCATATGGACATTATATATTATTAGGCAAATAAACTAAATGTATAAGAACATGAACACTGAAACCATAACTTAAACTATTTAACATAAATAATTTCAATGAAAGTGCCCCCACTTATGTAACACTCACTAAATGTCCAATTTATGATTTGCCAACTATAAAAAAGTAAAGAGTCTAAATAATGATTTAGCTTGTTATATTTCAGCTTTGCATTTGACCCAGAAAAAGATTATTTACCCTCTCCAAACAGGTTACACAAGAAGAAAAATTATTTCTACTGAATGGACATATCTTACCTGCTACCCTCATGTTTGGTTTTTCAGTCTTTGGCACTTTTCATTAAAAAAGTTCCTAAAATCAAAAGAAAGGCAAACAGCATTAGGTCTAGAAGGAACATTCCTTCTCAGATTGAATCTAAGTGTATTTATTAAACTAAGTGTCATGACATTCTAAAGATATTGACATCTAATGAAAAAACTCACATGACTGGGTGTGTCCCGGCTGCTGGACCATGAAAGCTACTGAGGGGAAACCGGCTATCAGGTTGGTGAAGAGGAGCTAATGCCTTAATACTGTCAGTGATTATGCATCCATTAAGAAACTTGGGAGCCCTGGCTGGCGTAGCTCAGTGGATTGAGCACGGGCTGCGAACCAAAGTGTCGCAGGTTCGATTCCCAGTCAGGGTACATGCCTGGGTTGCAGGCCACAGCCCCCAGCAACCGCACATTGATGTTTCCCTCTCCCTCTCTCTTTCTCCCTCCCTTCCCTCTCTAAAAATAAATAAAATCTTAAAAAACAAGAAAAAAAACAAACTTTGGATATTTAGTTCCAAATTTTCAATTTGCAATTGAAGGTCAAAGAGGTTAAGTTGCTTACCCAGTCAGGCATGGAACAAATTAATTATAGAAGGTGTCTAGGGTTTAAGGGTCTTCCGACTCCTGCTGCAGGGCTTACTCCACTATAGGATGCCACTTCATTTTTACTGTGACATAATTCAGGTGTCATTATGATAAGCACCTATAGAAAAGCCTTCTTATTTTAATACCAGCCTTCTGTTTCTCTTCATGTTTTCAATTTAAGTTTATAAAAATACATATTCACAAGTGTAGAATTAAAATTTTAAATACTGCAGCAATTATTATGGACAGTGTATGTTAACCATCAATGAAGAAATTGTCCTTTGGTATTATCCAAATAACAACAAATAGATACTGGAAAAGAATCTGTGTATGTATATATCCCTCCTAAGAAATAACTGAGGTAAAATTTTAAAAAGCAAATGGAAAAGCAAGTAAATGTGATTAACAGGAAATTCATGCCCAAGTTTAGCTAGACAGCTACTGTAGTCTACTCAATCTATTGTACAGGAAAAGAACTCAAAAGGAAATTCTGATTAATGAATCACATTAATCAAAAGTACATCTTGCTCCAGCTGGTGTGACTCATGGATTGAGCTCCAGCCTGCAAACTGAAAGGTCACCAGTTCAATTCCCAGTCAGGACACGTGCTGGGTTGTGGGCCAGGTCCCCAGTTGACAACCCATCAATTTATCTCTCGCACATGAACAGTTCTCTCCCTCTCTCCTTCCCTTCCCCTCTCTCTAAAAATAAATGTTTAAAAAACCTGAATTTTAGACTATTTTCATACTGGTGTTTGATGAAGTCTGATCTAATGATACACAGACTCTGCTTCAAATAAAAACAATGCCCCACCCCTGAAGGACACTAAAAGGAAGAGAGACCTGCAGTTTTCTTATTCACCCATAAGGAGTTAGTGGGGGTGGGGAGCATCCAAAGCGTCAATGCCCTTATGCGAACTTCTTTATTCTGCCTAATTTACCCTGAAGAACATATCAACATTTCACCTAGTACTGAATTGAACATTACTGATTTATTTTCCTTTGTTAGTTATCTGAACACCTTCCACATAATAGGGAAAGTCAATGTTCTATATCTATTTAAACTCACTACTTATCCACAGGCCTGGAAAATATCAAAAGGAAAGAAGAGATTCTGAAGTGTCCACAAACCATCACGTATAAGCAGAAAAAAAACCTCGGCTTTTCAAATGAAAACTCCAAGTGCTTATAAACCCTGTTTCGACTTCTAGCAAAAATGGACACTATGTTCATAACACCCACGTGCTTTTCCTCCCAGCTAATGTTCCAGAATAACCTGTTCCTTATCTGAGTGCAACCTAGGAAAATTTCTTTGAAAGTGTGATAAGCAGTTGGGCAGGCAATGGCTGTGCTATTTCACTGTTCCATTGCTTGCTGAGGGGCCACACCTGCGCAGTTAAAGCCACTGCCTCACACGCCTGCTGTCTCTTTGCATCGCCTAACAAGCCTGCGTCTAAACTGATCACTAGTTAAGACCGTGATATAAGCAACTACAATTGTCTGGCTGAATTGATGTTTTCCATTAAATTTCTCAGAGAATAAAAACACTTAGTAAAATCTCTAAATTAAATTCTCATCAAATTTCAGTTCTACCACATTTTAATTCGTTTGCTTAAGAAGCTAATTAGTTTTGTAAGAGTGTAAATCAGCCTATGGAAAAATTATTGAATATATCTGCGAGCAAATCAAGGAGCATCAGTTTACAATGTGTTAGTTCCAACTCCTCTTCTTGGGAGGAAGGACATTTAAAAACAAGGAAAATCATTACACAGGATCATCTTAGGGGGAAAGTAAAACAATGGGATCCTGTGTAAACTGGAGGCTGAAGCTCCAAAAATCAGGGAGGGACAGACCTGGTCCAGAAAACCCAAACACCACAGCAAAAGGGTCAAGAGGCCTCTGCTAGAAATGCAGATCTCATTAATCCAGAAGTCATAGGTGAAAAGAATGTATCATTTTTCTTATTTGTTCATTAAAAGGTAGAAATGTAGGTCCACTTACTGAAACTAGAATATTGATGGTAGGAGAAACTATTTTTAGGGCAGATTGAAACAAAAAACAACTCCGGAAGTACATTTGTGAAATACATACAGGCCAAAATAACAAGTTTCACTGTTTTAGATAAATGAGTGAACCAGATCAGGTTGCTAACAGGTAAAGTGCACAGTCCCCTGAGAATCCACTGCAAGGAGGGTCACCGCGAGGCCCTTCGGCAGTGAGACACTGTCCTGGATAAACACTCATTAAGAATGTGACCCAGCCCCAGCCCGAAGAGAGCCTAAAGTAGGGTCTCAAAGCAACACACCGGATTGCTTTGAATGTCTTATAATTTAAATGCTTCCTTCAGCCCAATTATCTACTTTAGTCTAATTTAGGGAAGTTGTGTGAAAATCAGGCCCAATAAGCAGGTATAGTCCTGGAATCAATCAACACCAGGAAAAACAGATAAATGCACAGGTGGATCCTTTCATTCTTTCCTTGACAAATGGACTCCAGCACCATCATTTGAATCACAAGGCCACGATTCTATATAAACAAAATGAATCATAAAAATAATCATTTACGAAGGAGGAGAAGGTCTTGGGAGTCCGCATAAACCAGGTAAGAATGCATACTGCAGAGCAATTCACACACCTTCTTATTTTATGCAGTCTTCCCAACAGCCCTCTAGGCAGTGGGTATTAGCATGGCATTATAGACGAAGTCAAGGGATTTGTCTAAGGTCGTAAGAAGGATAAAAGTAAGAAGCTGACAGTACAAACAAATCCACTTCTCTTTCACCCCCGAGGGCTCACTGACATACTCTAATATAAGGAACTTGTTGACAAAATTCCATGCCACTCAATCTGGCTTTGGTAAATTGCTCTGGGAATTGCTACTCTCTGCTGCCAACCCCACTCCAGAGATGTGACAAAATGACTAAGCATGTGTATTAGGACCTTCCTCAAAGACAGAAGAAAGTGAAACACACAAACACATCCGTTGATGTATTTACTATTAATGGTAACAATTAAATCAGAAAAAAATACTACAAATTAAACTTCATAAATATAAAGAAACTATGCTGGCCAAATGCAATTTTAAATGAATCAACTGAGCGAAATGTGTACGATTCACTTAATATTCATGTGAACTGGGGCTTGTTCAAGAGGACTAGAAAAAAAAGTCAAAGCACAAGACAGATTTAGAGCAGATAGATTTAAAGTATATTTAGGTCCAGAAATGGTTAATTACGTGTCAACTTGACGGGGCCATGGGGTGTCCAGATATTTAGTTAAACATTATTCTGTGTGTCGGTGAAGGTGTTTCTAGGTAAAATCGGCACATGGCAGTTTGCCCTCCTCAGCGTGAGTGGGCCTGGAGGCCTGAACAGAACTAAAAGGTCTGAGGAAGGGAAAACTGACCCTGTCTACTGTCTTTGAGCTGGGACATTGCTCTTTACCTGCCTTCCGACTTGGACTGAAACTCACACCATCAGTTCCCCAGGTTCTCAGGCCTTTGGATTCGGATTGGAACTCTACCTACCACTGACTCTCCTGCTTGCTGGCTGCAGATCCTTTGATTTCTCAGTCTCCACAACTGCATGAGCCAATTCCTTGTGATATCTACCTGTTATCTCTGTCTCTCTTCCCCTCCTCTCTCTCTTATTGCTTCTGTTTCCTTGGAGAGCACACACTACACAGGCCTCCTCAAAATCAAAATGTAAAAGATTAAACTTTCATTCCAGAACAGTTGAGGAAAAAGTGGTAATACTGAAATCAAAAAAGGATAATGCAACTAAGTCCCCTGGTTTTCTGATTTTATGTAGAAACAAAAGTATGTTATTTAAAGTTATTTGCAAAAAATACCTGAAAGGGTCAGGCCAGTTTCCCAGCCTGCTAGACGACTCAGGACCCAGTCAGGCCAGTTTTCCAACCCGCTGGGCTGCTCGTGACTCAGTAGTCTGGACTCAATTGACAGCCCACAGCTTAACTGAAACTCTCTCCCACCTCCCACAGTAGACACCTGGCACCAGCCACAAAAGCAGTGGTCAGACTGACCTGTACCTGGGAACAGCCTGTCCTTTACCTAACCCTGAGGCACCTGCCCAGAGGAGCAAGAGACTAACCCCTCCCCTATCCCCTCACAAACCCCATGCTTTTTCTTTAAAAAACCCCATTCCTGACTCCTCCCCCATCCCCCAGGGCTGCAGTCAGTCCAGACTCAGCCCATGTGCAAGCGCAGAATCAAATAAAGTCACTTGGAACAGATCATCCAGTTCCTCCTGCCTCTATTTCTCACACATTTCTAACAATACCTTTATTTATGTGAATAAAATAGAGGAACTATTGGCAAACTTTTTCTGTAAAGAAGCCAGGTGGTCAGTATTTTAGGCTTTGCGGACCACACAGTCTCTACTGCAGCTGCTCCGCTCTGCACTGAGGCTGGAAAGCAGTCGTAAACCACACACGAA